AGGAACAGTGGCCCTTCAGCCTTCTAGCAGCAGCCCCAGAAATGTTCCCTTTCCAAGATTACAAAGATTTGTCCAGCATGAGGAATAGGTGACTCAGCATTTCAGTCTCTAGCCTTATCAGTAGAGGACTCTTTATTTTGGTCATATCAGTAATGATGGGACATAAAATTGAGAAGAGAAGGAACTTTTAAGTTCCTTCATTTTCTTAAGAGTGTATATTGATAGTCCAAGGGCGTTTCACATTGGCATTTCAGATATGTATATATCATGCTTTAATCACATTAACACACACCATCCCAATTACTTACTCTTCATCACGATGTTCACTGGGTGGTTTTTTGTTTGTTTGTTTGTTTTGGTAGTAGGGATTATTTTAGAGATAGGGTCTCACTTTTTGTTCAGGTTGATTGGGACCAGGATCATCCTATTTTTATACTTCCTGCTGTCACTGGGATGACAGGCATGTGCACCATACCCAGCTTTCTTCTGTTGGGATGAGGTCTCACAATTTTGTTTTGCCTGGGCAGGTCTGGAATTGCCTTCTTCCTGATCTCAGCCTCCTGCATAGCTTGGGATGACTGGTGTACACCACCATGCCCAGCTGTTGGTTGAGATGGGTCTCATATTCTGTTTGTCCAGGTTGTCCTTGAACCAGGATCCTCCCAGTTTCTACCTCCCGAGGTACTTGGCTGTTAGGTGGGTTTTTGGTTTTTGTTCATTCATTTGTTTGTTTGGTTTTTGGATTTTGGTTTTTTGAGACAAATCTTAATATGTCGTTCAGGCCAGCTGAAACTCAGTATGTAGCCCTCAAATTCATGATTTTCCTGCCTCAGCCTCCTGAGTGCTGGGATTACAGGTTTATGCCACCACACCTAGCTTTATTTTTGTTTTTCAATGAATTAATGAACAAAAAAAACCACTTAGAATAATGTCTGGCACATAGTAAGGGTTACATAGGGTTCTTGTTTGTTATTATTGCTATTTCTTTTACTGTTTAATTTTTTAAAAGTTCCTTGTGTTTTGAGTTTATGGATAGTGACAAATGACATATACCCACAGTACTTTGGTTTTAAAGTATAGACATAATGTTAACACCAAATTTTGTGTGCTTTAAATATTCTTTGTATGGGTACATCATGTGGCCTGTAGGAAGATTGAGGAGATCATGGCTATCAGAAAGTGCTTCTTGGAATCAGTGATGTATGAGCTGATTCTTGCATATGAGTAGGTTGGGGAAAAAGAGGGGGTAGGAGAAGTTAGATATGTGTTTTGGGAATAGTTTTATATGTCTAGAGAACAAGGGAATAAAGGGCCCAGCAAGTGAGAAGAGAACAAAAACAAAGTTAATGTTGCCAGTTGTAAAAGTTGTAGAGTCCCTTGTATTCTAGTACTGAGGAACTTGACATTATAAATAGGGGATTGGGTGTCACCAGTCAGGCATTTTAACTGATCACTCTGGGGACTTGTGGAGATGGTTCTCTTTGCAAGTATTGTTCTGGTTCTATTACTGTGACTCTGAGCCAGGAAATGGAGGAGGCAGAAGAGATCCAAGAGAGGAATGAGGGCAGGCATGATTTCTGAATTTGGGGCTAGAATATGATCACACATGCCTGACTTTCTTGTGATCCCACTCTTAGGTTGCCATGTAGCAGCTAGCCATAGCTTGGCCTATGTGTAGACAGTACTGCAGCTGTAGGAGGTTCACTGAGGTTCTGTATCTGCACCAAGCAGCTCAGAGGCCTTCTTGATAATGTAGTGTTGGTTTGTAGTGTTCTCATCCTCCACCTGGAAGAGCTGCTCTCTTTGCACATTCAGGTTTTTAATATAATTTGGAAGAGGAATGTATATATTACTATGACTTGTACTTGACATTTTAAAAGCCCAGTTTTGAACCTTACTGATTTAAATAATGACTCTGAATGTGGATTCTGTCCTTTTTTCCATTGGTTGGATGATGGGTAGACCCTTCATACGGTGCATGAAGGTGATGAAGTAATGACTGTTGTCATGACTGGGTGGGATGATACCAGTCAGAATTAAAGCAGTGGTATTGGGCACACGAGATACGTGCTTGGAGTCTGTTCTCATTTGTTGAACTGGTGATTACTAATGTTGTTCATTCATTTTTTTCTTGTATGTATTTTGCTTAGATGAAGTGATCTTCATTGCAAATGGGTTTCTTTCTGTAATCCCTGCAGTTGATTTGGCCTAGGTGGGTCTGAGCCATTGCTTGTCATCCAGATGTGCGTAAATGTGAACCATCCGTGCCCACTGCTGCCCTGGCTTTCTTCCATTATCTCATTTAAACCTAGTAACAAATCTTAGAGGAAGATGTAATTATTAACCTCATTTTATATTTGAAACTGAGGCTAAGAGAAACAAAACAATTTATCCAGGGTCACCAACCTTAAGTGACAGTTGGAACTTTAACCACGGTCTGTATGACTGAAATCAGTCCTCTGACCATCCATTCTACATTACCTTCATTTGTGGAAAGAAAAAAAATCCACGTTAGTTTTTTTGGGGGCAAAGCAGATTTAAATTAGCTTATTGCAAAATAGTAGTAACAAAGTCAATTCAATGTAAATAATTAGTTTTATTCTGGTTTATAAAGTCTTTGGGTGGACACTGAAGACTTTGTAAACTTTTTATTTTTAAACTTCTCATAGTGTTTGGTTTGTATATTGATGCATGGAACTGTTAGCTGATTCTGAACATTAATGGTGTGAAGTCTAATGAGTTCGCAGGCTTTCAGTAATCAGATCAGGGGTAAGTGCTTCCCTTGGCTTCAGGCTTTTTGTCTAAGCATTTGGAGAGGTCTTGTCTGACTTTCAGCCATCTTGGAGGTTCCATACAGTTCATTCTTGGGAAGAGCAGATGGAAAATCATTAGCACTTCTCTCTTACAGCAAATAGATGTTTCCTCAGACCTGGGCTCTGGTCAGCTTCCAGACAGTAAGCCTTTTGCTCCTGTAGGACAGTGCACTCAGAGCCCAGCAACCCCACTAAATTAAACTGTGTGCTTCACTCTGGTAGAGAGAGGTCACCATGGAAAGCACTAGCTGCCAGCTCACTTTACCTGGCAGTGGTTCAACTCTTTGACAGGCCTACCTCTGATTTAAACAAATTTGAGAAATATGTAAAGTTTTGGAAGCAGTTTTGCACTGATTTGATAAAAGAAACCACAAAACACTGCAGCGCAGGTGTTGAGAATGTTTGAAAGCTGATTGAGGGAAGCAGATGGCTTTAGTCAGTGGCATCCAGCCAAAAGAGCAGGTGCTGGTCATGTGACCGCTGGTTACCAGGGTAATCTGATTGCTCTTGGCGTGCAGATGAAAGGAAAGGGGCCCAGTGTTCAGCTGTAGTATTGTATAATTTGTGGCAGTTAGAGCGGAAATAAATGCTGGAAATGGAGCCTCATAGTAGGGGAGACTTCTGTCCATGTGTAGCATAAACACTAGGACAGTTGGATGAGGAACTGTTGTATTTTTTTTTAATTTAAAAAATATTATGCTCACTGTGGATCTCTTGGTGACTTAAAGTTTTCAAGATACTGTCTTTTTTTTTTTAAATAAAATGAACTGTTGAAATCTAACTGTTGTTTGTTTAATACTGGATTATTTTATTTCCTGACAAGATTATTTAATATGCTAAAATGTCAATGAAATAATAAAAATAAACCCTGAGTATTTGAAAATAACTGTTTTAAGAAAACAGTTATTAAATACATTTTAGGTATGTGTTGGGAATATTTTATATTAACTGCATTTTATATTAACTTTTGAAATATTTAATATGACACATGCTTCACTTGAGATCTCTTGACCTTCCTTCTGTAGTAGAGTTAAAAACACGCTGTTGAATGCTTTCTGTCAGCACGTTTTTGTGGGAATTTACAAACTTCAATAAGTAAATTTAGGTTTTGAAGTATATATTTTATTTTTAAAATTAGAGTTTGAGGCTCCTAGAAATAATAAAAAAAATTGTTACTGAGGTTGAATTATTTTCAGTGTGGTATAACAAATAATTGATGTTAGAAAATCTTGGAGCCAGTTTGAAAATTTACAGTAGCACTAAGTGTACATTCTGAATGTCAGTGTTCTAGAGGTGACGATAAACTTAAAATTTCATTTGTCTTAGAGTTGCGTTCATGTCTTTTGTCTTACATAACATTCAAATCCTGCTAATGACTGTTTATCATCAGTATACTTTGGGAAATGTGCTTTAATTATTGGGGTTGATTTGATTTATTTTTGTATTTCAGAGATCTAGCTTTTGAAAAAATAAAATTAAAAAGGGTAATTGTGGAGCAAAGAATGTAGCTCGGTGGTAGAGCACTTACCTAGCATGTGCAAGGTCCTAGATTCAATCCTCAGCACGTGGCAAGGGGGAAATTTGTGATTATCTCCCAAAAAGGGGTAAAGCCAAAAGAAAATGTACTTTTAATTAAGAACATAGCATTAAGTAAAATTACATATTTCTGGAAATGTGTGTTTTTAAAATTCTAAATTGGATAAAAATGGAACGATGTCATAAAAGAACACAGCTAGTACTACTGCTCGTAAAACAACTGAAATAGGAGTATATAATTCTATCTGCAAGCGACACAAAGATATGATCATTATGTTGTATTTTTTGACAGTTTTTGAAAAAGATGTTCCACAACTTAAAAACTTATAACAAAATTACTTCTTAGTTTTGTTTTTCCATTATGGCTTGGTGGGTTGGCAAGAATTTGGAACAAATGTTCCATGTGTGATATAAGTAGGTTTTGTATGCAGTTTTATTTTTATTAGGGCAGAAATTTGCTAAAGGTCATCAATAAGAATTTTGCCATAAAAACTTAATTAAGAGCACCACTGACTTATAAATGGCCTACGTACATTGACTTGTCCATTGTCACCAGTGCTTTAGGAATATTAACATGGAAATAGTAGGTATGGGGCATGCAGAAAACCACATTAAAAAGTGAACACTAACTTGATGTACTTTGAATTCTAGTAATAAGAAACCTGATTCAGAAGCAAGTGCTTTGAAGAAAAAGGTCAACAAGGGAAAAACAGAAGGTTCTGAAAATTCAGACTTGGACAAAACACCCCTACCATCTCCTGCTCCTGAAGAAGATGAAGACCTAGGCATTCAGGTAATGCCATTATTGTGTCTCTGAGCCTCAGCTATATAGCATGGTAACATCAGTCACATGTAAAGCACCATAGACTTCCCATAGCTTTGTTATAAAGATGCTTGTGAGATGTCCTTACTGTTTTCTGGAACATTATTTTCACAGTGATGAGAGCTGGGGGACCAACAGAAAATTAAATTCCTGACCAGAACTATTTGGTTTTATCATCTTTGACTTTGCAATTAAAAAACAAAGAGTCTCCCTTCATTTCTATAAATGTCTGTCTTGATGTTCATATATGTGATTGCTAATGTGTGGCTTCATTCACATTTTAAATTTCTTTGAAGTTTGGTTGCTTATCAGTTTTTTATTTTGCAGAATAAAAACCCCATAATTTACAGCTTATTTTCAGGCTTTTGATATCTGATGGTCAGAGGTGAGATATATTCATATAAACTAAAGTTTCTGCGAACAAGTCAGTGATTTTCCAAATGGCAACTTAGCAGAATTTTCCAGTGTTCAGAGTCTTCTCACTTAGAGAATCTTATAGGAATAAGTTAAAAAAAACAGCCCTGAAAAGATATTAGGAATTTGGATTCTTGTATGTAAAGCATACTGCCTTCACTTCTTGGACTGAGATGGACTCTTACATGTGACAGTTAAAAATTATTTCATTGTTAGGTTCCCTGGACATTCGCCAACCTTGGTCCATTGGGATGGCTGGGAATGTGACTTGTGTGAATGACATCTGAGTTATCAGGGAGCAGTTACTGAGCAATCCTGCTGGAATAGGTAGCCAGCCCCTAGAAGCTTATTGGATCTCCTCTGATAAATTAGTGCCCATTCAGGACCTTCTATCCATAGTGCAAATATTCTCAACATATAGCTCTACTCTAAAGAGTTTCAGATTTGTTTGCGAGTTTTATTTTGAGTAGAACTCCTTGATATTTGTAACTTCACAGAACAGCCTAAGCTAAGGATCCAAGATAGAGTGTAATAAAGAGAGAATGTGAATGAATTTATTTTGGCTTGGTTTGGTTGTATAACTAACCTGGTGATACCGTTTGCAGTATGAATTAATTATATAATTTATTTTTATCATATGTCAGTGGAAAGATAAGGTAATTTTTTTTTGTAGTTTCTTCAGCGAACTGAAACTAAATAATTTTAATGATTGTGAATTTTTTTAATCTTCAAGAATGTTCTCTCCTCATTTGTTTTTGCTTAAAGTATGACAATAGTATTTGGACAATATTAAGATTTATTTGCACTGGTCAACAAAATTCTCTTATTCTTTCACAAATAATTGCTGCTGGTTTAAAAATGTCTTTTTGTATTAGCAGACTCAACTGGACTTTATGAAATATGAGAGGATTTTTTTTCCTTTCATTTCAGTTACAAAAAAGTGATAATCAATTCAAACAAACCTTGGCAGGTGCTTTCTAATTGGCTAGTGGGTATGGGTAACTAAGTGTTCTGGGCTCAGTAGCTAACATAAGCAGCCACACAAGAAGATGTGACTTTGAAGGCTGTGCTTTCCTGGTGTCTCCAACACAGGAAGTGATGCTGACTGCTTCTTATGTTTCTTCCTGTAACTCATGTTTGAAGTAAAAAGTGTTGAATTTTGTGATTGGTATCCCAAAGTAAATGCCATATAATTTTAACTAACTTAAAATTGTTCACAAGGCACTACAACAGTGAAATCATGGAAACACATTTAAGTCTCTTCAGTACACCCATTTAACTAAAAGCATCATTTAAAAGACAAGTTTTAAAAAGTTGGTGAATTACTTTAGTGTTACCTTAGAATTCTTGACTTAAGGCTTAAATGCAATTCTTAAATTTGATTTCGATTCCCAGAATTCTTTCAGTAACAATAGTTTAACAGATCATAATTGAAGCAGCATATAATAACTTTATATTGAGAAATTATGAAATGAACTGTGCTACCAAAAGACCTTAAGAACAATTATTATTTACAAAGTAGAGAAACCATAAAACATTTAAAAATTTCAGAAAATTGATGTCTACTTGTATTTTCTTGTGTCTACTACTAACTAATGCCATCACTATGCATAGATTTAAGAGGAACTCACATTATAAAAATTACAGTCAGCATTTTAAACAATGAGCCCCATTTTATTTATTGGAACAATACAGTAATGTCTCTTTAATATCAGAGTGGAATTTCCTGCAAAGTGAATTTGTCCAGACCCTGTCCTGTTACTTGTGCTGGGAGAATACTATTGACATTGTGACCTCAAACCTTGAAACTTGATAAAACATCATGGGGGGGGGGTCATTAGAAATACATCCTCAAAAGATGGAAATATAAATTAACTATTTTAAAGTAGTTAAGTTGATATACCAGATGGAATGCAGATATTGGGCTAAATTTTACAAATTAAAGCATTATTCTTCATCATAGCCCTTTAGATATTAAAGAAACTGGTAGTCCAGATGTGAGAAATGGCAAAGTGGGCCTGAGAGCAGGAGTAAGCAGGTCAGATTTGGAAAGAGAAGGGAAGCAGTACAAGGTAATTGAGCCATTTTTCTTTGGAAAGCTGGAGCTGATTAATGATGACTTTAATCCTATTAATTACATTTTGTAATGCTTTGAATGAATTTCCTTTTGTGATCATCCCAGTATTTGTATTGGGTTAGTTACTATCATTAACCCCATTCTATAGACCAGGAAACTGAGGTCCATAAAATAACTCATTTTGGTCATGTAAGCATCAGGCAGGGCCAGTTCAAACAGGAATACTCAGCTCTAGGGCTCACAGTGGTGTGGGAAGAATCCAGATGGCAGAACCCCCCACAGGTTTCTGTGACACCTGTCTTGGAGAGGAGAACCCTGAAGAACCTCTGGTCTGCATTGGTCTCCCTCCAGTTGAGGGCAGTGGGAAATCTTTTAGTAAAACCTCATCACAAATGGCCACCTGTCAGAAAGGTACCTTGTGCCTCTGCTGGCATGACGGTGTAACACTGGGATATGGAGCTTGTGTGGTGGATAGTCTCAGATCCATTCCTGAGCTGAGAGAGCACAAACTTAATCAGATTAAAATCCATTCTTTGAGAAGAAGAGGTGGAATTTTGTTGGTCCTGTCTTGAGAAATATTAGTATCTGTCATGCCTTCAGTGCATGTGATGGGTATTTTGCCTTTCTCTAACTTACTGTCCCAACTGTAAAATTTGTGAGGCTCTTTGAAAAGTTTTATGTCATAATTCTTAGAAAAAAGTTTATATGTAGTATTACTTTCATCAGTACTCTTTTATTTCCTCATTATGAATTTTACCTTTTAACTCTTCATCTCTGTAAAAGTTTTAGAATGTTTGCTTTAGGACCAAAATTAAAATGCAAAACACCCTCTCTTCTGTTCACTCCTAACCCAAAAATTAACCCTGTTAACAATTTGTATGTCTTTTCAGCTTTTTTTTTCCTGTTGTTGAGAGCATACACACGTTCTTTTTTTTTTTTTTTTAAGCAAATATTCATTGAGGCATAGAGAGGTAAACAAGAGATGCATTCTCTCTTTTTTTTTTTGAGATGCATTCTCTTTGCCTTAAGGAGTTTATTGATGATGCATACATCTAAATAGATGTGCAAATTTTTATTTATCTTAAACAGAAACATAAGCAACTAATTGCTGTGTAACTTGTCTCTCTCTCCCTCTCCAACTTTTTGTCTTTTTTTCATCTTCAGATATTTCCAAAATAGGTTGTGTAGCTTACTGGAAGTAGAACTGTTGGATCAAAGGACTGGCATGTTTTAAATGTTGATGATACGACCACATTGTCCTGGGTTATGTTTTGATCACAGGAGTGTTAAGAGTACCCATTTTACCAATAACCATACTAACGCTAGCTGTTACCAATCTTGTACATTTTAACCAGCAAAATAAAAAAAATAAAATTAAAATGTTTTCATTCATTATGAATTTTGCTAGTTAGCCCTTCATATCTCCAAAACATTCAACTCTGATTTCTTTTAGAACCAAAATGAAGTTGTAATAACTTTATTTCAGTGGCCTTCTGAAACATCTTGGGGTACAGAACATTGTAATTTACAGATTATTTTCTAATTCATTCACATTTTTTTATTTATGTGAAAAATTTCCAGTAATACAAAAGTAGAGAAAAGAATGTAATGAAGTCCTGTAAATTTCTTGCTTAGCTCCAATATTTCTATCACTATCAGTGGACACCCTGGTTAGGTGAGAAACAAGATTTATTGTTCCTTGCATTTTTCTGTTTAAGGGTATGTGACTGGAAGTGGCAAAGTGATAGCTATCCCAAGGCTGCAGATTCCTCCATTTTCATTTCATTTGGTGTCACAATGATGTTTTCACTTGATTTGCAGTATTAAAGTAATCATCTTTGAGATTAAAATATATCTTAACCATTCTGTGCCATGTTAAAGAGCATCAGTGATCACTTTTTCAAACCCACTTTGTTGGGATTTTGTTTTAGAAGAGGCGGTCCAGCAGGCAGGTGAAGAGAAAGCGATATACTGAAGACTTGGAGTTCAAGATTTCTGATGAGGAGGCAGATGATGCAGATGCTGCTGGGAGAGACTCCCCTTCCAACACTTCACAGTCAGAGCAGCAGGTTAGCAGTGAAATTTGTGTGATTCACATTTGTGTTTTCAAAGTGGACTAGAAATTTTATAGCTGGACTCCAAGAAGCTCAATGGCAACGTTGGGCTTTGAGCAGGGGGCATTCATCTAATGTTGGCTAATGTGCTATGGGAAGTTAGTTGTTTAGCAGTATCTTTTAAAAAGCCCTGTTCACTGAGATTTATTTTTCTACAAGCCTGTAATATGTAATTTCACATATTTTAGAGAATTAATGGTCTATACTGAGGAAGAGTCAGAGCTAGAATCCAAGGCGACTGAATTTACCTCTGAGAATTCAGTGCTGTAGCTTCTGGGACTTTAATAAACCACTCAAGCTCATCTCCTGCTGTTCAGCACTGCAAGAACCCCTTTATGAAATTACTGCCTTGTCGTACCCAGCAGGGCCCACTTTATTCTCTGTGCTATGTAAATGATGGATAAAACAGTTTGTATAAGGTAAGGGTAATAATGTGGGATTGATTATTGTAAAAAAAAAATTTAATGTTCTTTCCTTACAGTGACTGTACTTTAGTTAACAAACTGGTAACCCATTGAAACTTGTGCTATGTTAAATTGTTGTATAACGTTTTATGCAACCTCCATAGATAAAAGCTGCCTTATAATAACTGAATGATGTGTGTATTTACCCCATGGGTGTAGATGAGGAAAAGTTATATTTTTGACTGCTATCATGCAGAGATTATTTTCTCTTGGCAGCTGGAATTTCTGAATGCTCTCTAGCTTGAGGGACCCATGCTAGTCTTGTAATTAAACCACACAATCAGGAAGTAATAAGCATGGCTTCTTCCTTTTGTCTTTCTATAGAGTGAGATTTTTGGTTTTTTGGGTTATATTTCCCACTGGTGGCTTCGTACCCAGTGATGTGAAGGTTATGAAGGTAGTGGCAAATGGGAGTGATTTCTTGCTTTTGTAGTATAAGATCAAATGTTTTCCATTTGGATTGATTAACACAGCTTTATTTTGTAGGAATCAGTTGATGCAGAAGGCCCAGTGGTAGAAAAGATCATGAGTAGTCGTTCAGTGAAAAAACAGGTGAGTGCCACTTGTAATAATTAAAATCTGTGGTGTGTGTGACTCATCTAAGATTATTTGCTTTGTAATTTTCCTTTAAAGTTCCACTTTTGTGAAACAAACTTCTGGTGATATCTAATCCTATCTGATGTACTAGCCCAATATAAATTTTGGGGATATTTAGCCCCAAATGAAATTAAAATATATTAAGCAATAAAATATATCAATTTTTGTTACATCATTCAGATGAGGACAGAAACTCGATAGTCTCCAAAGAAATGTATAGGACTATCTACAGACCACCTTTTTCGTAAAAATTATTCTTTAAAATCATAAACATGTTTACCTTGCATCTCTTTTTGGAAGGTCTGCCAACCCATCCCCATGGAAGGATTGAAGTTCTTTTTACCATTTTGGCAAGTAGCTGTTTTCTCATAAATTTTGTAACATTTTTCATATACAATTGAAATATTTTAAATGCCTTTATTGCCAATCTAAAGGTATTGATTTACTTTTCAAAGTAAATCAGTATTGAGCTACAAAAGTTAGCCCAATACACCTGTCACTAGCCAGATAACTATGTTGTTGAGGGACAATTGAATGAAGAATGCCAGTGGTTAATACTGTATTTTCTTTGAGCAGTGGAAATTCTCTGTTCTATCCCAGTTACCTCCCTTCTTTCCCAATTTCGGAAAGTGTTTTACTTGTTTTGAATTACTGTCTGTTCCTTTGCTCGAATGAGTCAAGCCCATAGTTCTTTTTATTGGTTTTCAAGGTGTGTGAAAGTACAGCTTCATTTGTTTTGATCTATAAACTCAACGTAGCTTATTTTTTAGTAAAATATGTATAAAACATAGTTTCCCAGGGAGAAAGATGAGGAGTGGAGGAATTACAGAATTTAAGGTGAGGTTTTCAGGCTTATCTAATAGGAAACCTGTGTTAATCAAATACTTCTACCAAGAGGTCTTTAAAAATGTCATTACACCAACAGTAAACTTCAACATACTTTCATCCCAGTACCATTTGCTTTTTTATTGTGTGAAACAAGGTATAGATTTTCATCAGTTTGTACATATCCAGTTCATATGAACATAATCAGGAATAGCATGTCAACATATTTTCAAATTTGAGTGTAAGCCTGTGTAGATGGCTATCTGGTGACTTTGAATGTGAAGAGTTCTGCCCTGATGAATTATACAATAAAATCTTAGCCAAATGTCCCACCTGTTCAAGCAAAAATGAGCACTATTTAACTCATTAGAAAGGTTGCATTTTTGTCCTACTAATGACTGTAGAATTGTTACTTTGTGAATTGTAGATATATGGCAAAATTTAAATACTTGACGTTCTTTAAAGAGTAATCCCCTTCACTGAATTGAAGTGACTTGTTTGAGTAAATAGCATGTTGTTTGGATGGGATATACTAATTTTCATTCAATTGATAGTACTTCAGCAGGCCTACTCAGCAGGTTTGGGGGTTGCAAATTATAATTAGCTCTATTATTCAGAGCTACTTAGACTATGCATTATGTAGGACATTGCTTTTTCTTTCTGTTTTACCCGCTCTGGGGCTCGCCCGCCCCTGCCCCAACCACTCTTTAAAGACAGGTGGTCATAGCTTAGGAACTGCTTTATCTTACCATAAGACATTAAAAATCACTTTAACTGTATAGGAAGGTGGAACATTTATTGATTTGAGAAATTGGAGAATTGTGGAAAATTTTCTCTGGAAGATGTGTGACTTTAAGGATGGAGCTTATTGAATTGCTTGTCTATTACTTAAAGTGTAGTAAAAATCCACTAGAAGATACTTTAATTAATAGGTACTAACTTTTTAAACTGCTAGTGTTCTCAAAGTGGTTGCTTTAGTTACCAGCTTTAAAAACACTGGAAGAAAAGTGTTGTAAATAGAAACAAAAGGAAATTTGAGATTTTTCTGGGGATTCTAGTTATGCCTGCTGTCTGTTTCCTATTACCATGAATAATTTAAGACTTGGCTGTGAGAAAGTGTCTCGCTCTCTCCCTGACAGGACTGTAGAAACTGGCTGAGAGCTCTTAGAATCTGTCCAGTAGGATGCTAACACATAGTGGGAACTCCATGGTTTTCAAAGTCAATCACCCTCATTGCTGTGTGGTGAAGTTGTGCAAATTCACAAAACAACTGTGGTAGAACCCCCCCTAATTCAGCACCTCTTGTTCAATGAGGATGGCTCAGGCTTTCATGTGCTGCTCTAAGTGCAAGCTGATGGTCATGATACCCCGTAGAAGGGCCATCATTGGGCCTCACATTTTAATTTTGACTTAGATATGTATGTGTGAATAGACATTTGGGTCACATGAAAGTTAATTTTTTTTCTCCACATTTAGTCATAGCGCTTTCTTCTATGAGCCATGTACCTTTGGAGAATAATTCAGTCTTTTTTTTGGATCAGAAGGTCAGAAATAGTTTAAAGTTGAATTCTGATCATATTCCTTAAAATTATCTTTCTTTAAATTGTCTGCACTGTGTATTTTTTCTTTAAAACCTTATTTTTTTCTTTTTATATGTATTTTTTGAATTAATACACTTTTGTTAGTTACAGTGTGATATTTCTTGGATACAATATGCAATGATCCAGTTATGGTAATTAGCCTCTCCACTTCCTTATCTTTTCTTTTTTTTTTTTGTATCATTTAGATTTTTTTCAGTGCTTTTGACTTTTAAAATTATTATTAGCATGGTATAGTTATACAGGGGTATGTTGCGACATTTACATAAGTATTTATAATATATCTTAGATTCAGTCCTTCATCTTTCTCCTTTATTTCCCCACCACCACCTTTTAGAACAATTTCAACAGATTTCATGGTTCTATTTTCATACATAAATACAAAATAATTCCACCATATTCTCCTTCCTTCACCATTTCTTTATGTCCTCTCCACTCCCACTGGTACCCATATCTGGATAGTACTTGTTTAACCTTCCTGCCCTTCATTTTTTAAAAAAAGATATTTTCGTTAGTTTATGATAGTTATACAGGTGATTTTGTTGTGACATTTGTGTATATTCATGTGTTATAACCCAAATTGGTTCTTCTCCTTTCTCCCCAGACCCCTTCTTAAGGTGACTTCAGCAGGTTTCAGTGTTCCATATTCACACTTGTATAAAAAGTATGTCAATCCTGTTCACCCTCTTCACTTTCCTCATTTACTCTCCCTCTCCTACTAGTGCCCTCTGCTTAACATGATCTGTTTTCTATTCTTGGAAAGCCTTATTTTAAGTTCAGGGATGTATGTCTTAATTCTTACTTGAACCCAGCAATTAAAAAAAAATATTGATGGGTGCTGGTGGCTCATGCCTGTAATCCTAGCTACTTGGGAGGATTGCAGTTGAAGACTTCAGTGAGTAGCTTGTGTGACACTGACCCCCATCTCCAAAATAACCACAGAAAAATATACAGGAGATGTGATTCAAGCAGTAGAACACCAGCTTTGCAAGCACAAAGCTCTGAGTTCAAACCCTGGTCCCCCTCCCTCCTCAAAAAAAAAAAGTGTTAAGATGAAACTCTTAATCCCATTCCATTTTATGTTCTTATTTTCTCCCTAAGTAAACTGTGATTTGGTGTCTCTATTAGAGTATATAGTAGTTTGGACCAGAAATAAGAAGAGATTCATACTTCCAACTTACTGACCTTTGGTGAGATGCTTTTTCATTCTTTTGTGAATGAAATGAATTATATAACAACACTTTCCCTTTTTTCACTGTACTTTCACTTTGCTCGCCCAGAGTGACTACTTAATTCAATAATAGAATCCTTAGGGAAGGCCATTCTTTCAAAGTTTAGGATTATCATTTGCCAGATGGTGGTTTCGAACCCAGGTGGCTGGATGAGCTGATGTATTGCCTGACCAAGGGATCTTGTTCATGTGAACAGTAGAACAAATATGGCTTAAAATATTTGGAACCTTAAATCTCCCATGAATTATAATGATGTCCATAGACTAGTTTTGGAGTCTAATGAAAAGGTACACACATTTCTCATAAATATTCTATTGAACATATGAAATTAGAGCACTTATAGATTTATTGGTAGCTGCCCAAGAAGTAAATTTATTTTTGTGTGTGTGTGTGTGTGTGTGTGCATGTGTGTAATTAGTGCTTTCACTGATATTCATTGGGTATATACATTATAGAATGGTTTCTAAAAATTGTGCAGTATGGGGTGGTGTTGGAGGCTGGTCATTGTGACTGTCATTTAGTGAATGATTGAAATTATGCTCCTGAGGGCTCATGAATTCACACACATTTGTTCATTGTTTTACTATCAGTAAAGCAAAAGACTTCAGCATGATTACATTTATATGAAAGGAAAAGCTGAAAAACAGCTTTCTTTATAGTTCTAGGGCAGGAATCCAGTTATCTTACATATGTGGTCATGTAAACAAAACATAGTATTGTATGTGCAGACATCCAAAAGATAGGCACTAGTTCTAAGTGCTGCCTAAATGAGATCTAAGAACCTAATTGGTTCTCCTTGACAGCTCTAGACACTCTTATTAAGTGTCTTCACAGCAGGTCCCAGAAGAATAGCTGATCATGACAAGAAAGTGGGTTTTATTGAGCCATCTTACAGATGGCTATAAGAGTCAGAGCCTTCTGAGAGCAAAACTGAGTTAGAATGAAAACTATATCTGCTGCTGGAGACTTGATCCTGTGTATTTTGGTCCCACTTAGAATCTTTCTGGGGCAGTAAGACCATTTAGAACTAGATGAAAAGGACAATATGGAAGATCAGAAATAAGGGAATCAGAGGAAATAATAGCACTTAGAAATGATAAATGCTTAACACTATTTAAAAGGTGTATAATTTTGAAAACCCTTCAGAACAGAAAGAAAGTATCAGAAGAGTGAAATTCAGATATTTCAGTTTCATTTTAGGTTTGAATTTTATGATATGCTATGAGAAGCATCACAATTTTTGCCTCCCATTTTCCCTTAACTGTTTTCTGTCTTATCTTTGCAATATATCTTGAAGTGGGAGTAGAATAGAGAATATTAGGGTTAGAAAAAATGAGATGGGCCCTGGATTGATAGTCATTTGAATTGACTGAAACTTACAAATTAAGTCCAGGTTTATTGACTGGCTTGTATGTATCAAGCAGTTTCTCTTCACTTTGGATAACTAAAAGCCTTATGCAATATGGGTGGTGTTCTCAATACATTGGTTTAAAAAAGCTGCTGTGTAGTTAAGATCTTTCATAGACCAATTAATAGGTGTTGACCACACTCCTGAATATCCAGTCTTATTGGTGAGTTGTTTAAAACTCAGGTTTAACTGATATAGGTTAAAGTTCTGAAGAAAAGTGTACGTTTACAATATTTCATAATTGTTTGAAGTTTATAGTTGAGGGGAATCACAGTACCTTTCAAAGATCTGTGCCAATCTGTATTGAGTAGAAGCCTTCACTCTTGTTTGTCCTTTGCCATGTTCCTGCTTGCCTTAATTTTCTTCAAAGCATCTATGAGGCAGCATAGCACCCATGTATGACCCTCAAGACAGGCTTGGGGGCTCTTGTATGGTTGTAAAAGCAATTCTGAAACATCTGTAAAGGGTGTTTATATTTTATATTCCTTCTTTATCTGATCAAATGTTCAGAGGGAAATTACATATTGTGACTTGTTTAACAGCCTAAAACCAAAGGAAAAAGAGAAAGACGTCTAAAATATATAAATGTTATCTTTTGCATATGCTACAGTAGGTAGGATCAAGGAAGATGTTACAGATAATCTTACCCACTGAAAACTCTTGATTTGGCTAACATGTATCACAATTTTAACCTTACCTAAATGAAGCATTTGAAGTGTTAATTTTATTTGGCTGCTATGTAGGTGAGACATCTTGTCTGAGAGATTTTAATTGTACCATTGAGTAAAACTAAAACTATGAATAGTGATGCACTAAAATTATAGCATAAGAACAAGGTTTAGTTTTATATGGTTTCTTGTTTAGAGTTATTAACTATATGGAGAAATAAATGTCTTTTAAATATTTTAAAACATTACAAAACCCACAATGTAAAGTTGCCATGAGGCAGCCAAAAATAATACATATGGCATTCAGGAGAACAGTTGCTAATTGGCTGCTGCCTGAGAAAATGGTACACTTGGCGTCTACTTAACACTGTGGGTTTGGCAGAAAGCCAGATTTGGGGTCAGGTTGTTGTGAATGAAGCTGCATGTGGTTAGGGAGGAGTTAAAATGATTCATGTCTCAAAGCTTGAGCATGTTGAGTAGAGCAGCATGCGTGGGCCTGCGCATGTTAGTCTTTATCCACAGGCCGCCTGCAGCTCAGAGTGTGCTCATCTTTCCCAGAAAGACCTTGTGGCTCTTCTCAAGCCATTCGATGCTCATGTGGGAGGAATCATTACTTTTGAAGTATTCAACTGCATGGGTTTAAATATGTACTGAAATTTTGTTTTGTTGCAGAAGGAATCTGGAGAGGAAATAGAAGTTGAAGAATTTTATGTGAAATACAAAAACTTGTAAGTAAATTGGGATTTTTTAAAAAAAGGAATGGGATATATTTTTACAGTACTAAACTTTTTTTGAAAAATTGTAAATTAGGAAAGTTTGGTATGTTTATTTAGTGCCTTGCAGGCCATTTCCTACTAACTTTTGTATCTTTGGTATTTTATAAAGGTAACTTTCTTACAAAATGGATAATTGATGTAAAAGTCAACTTTCTTATATAACCAAGAGGTTCTTTTTAGATAGAATAAAAACTTCTATAATAACAGAGGAATAAATAAGTAAAAATTGCCTATCCTCTGAGAATGAATTCTACTCTCCAGGGCTGTTCTCTCGCCCTTCATTTGTACACAGGATGCCAGGCACTTGAGGTGAGAAATATGCCATCAAATTGCCCTAGAGAATCATGACATCACTCAGACTTAAAATGCAGTGAACAATGGCTTTAATCTGGGCTTGTTTCTAATATTTGTTTAATGAATTTGAATTTCATAACTTTAAAAAAATCTGAGTAGAGGGCCTGGTATGGTATCTCATGCCTGTAATACCACTTATTCAGGAGGACTGAGATTTGAGGACAGCCCAGGCAAAAATGTGAGACCCTACCTGAGAAACAAAGGGCTAGGGTGTGGCTCATGTAGGATAGAACCCATGCCTAGCAAATGCAAAGCCCTGAGTTCAAAATACAGGGCATACTCATCATAGATGCGTGCTGTAAATGTAGGCAGTGTGCCTGGTCCACAGATATGTTTTGATGAGCCAGCATAGTTTTAAGGGTCAGTAGTCACCCTGCTGAGGAAGTGTGAGGCCATTTCCTAACCTGAAATACAACCACAGGACAAGGACAAAGGCAGTTGTTTATGACGTGAATAGTTCATCTACTTAATCCTTTTAAACAAAGCCCCATTTTTGTAAATTCTAGGGTTTTTAAAGAGAGGTTTTTGTGAGTTACCATGAAATCATCCCAAGAAAATTTACCCTGCTCTAGGATATCAGAGCATGAGGCACGGTGCTGTCATTTTCCCTTGTGGCCAGCACTGTGTTAATAAGTGTATGTACTTCTGAAGATGTTGTAAGCAAAACCTTTTACCAAGTAAAAAGGCAAAGATGTCTTTGTCAGTTTTATCATGAGAGTTCAATGAAATACAGTGTGGTGATAAAAATGCTCAGTAAATGTTAGCTGTCATCATTTTGTCTTCCAAGCTCAATGAGTTTACACATGTGCAAATTGTGCATATGACATGATTTCCTATGGCTGAATCCTTAAGGAGAGAAGAGATGTAAGGATACATAAGGAGGAAGTAACCTAAGTAAACTGAAGGGGAGAGTTCCCTTGTTGGTGTACCAAATCAAAACAACACAGAAGTTTATCAATTGCCAAATAATAATGGGCAACCCAAGTCAGTGTATGGGCACTGGGGCCTGAGGTGACTGCATCCATTGGAGCCTGTTAATAACTCCAGAGACGGGCACAGTTGCCTGACAGGTACCCCTGCCAGGTCAGGAGAGACTCACTCATCCTCTTTCTGGGTACTCAAGATGCAGCCAAGGGAATTTGGAAAAGTGGCTTCCCTGTCTGATTTTAGGGAGATCCAAGGGAATTTAAAATTTCTGTAAAACAGTTTTGTTAACCTATTTTGACATAATCTCAGATTTATAGAAAAATTGCAAGAAAAGTCAAAAGAATTCCCATTTTTGTGATTAACGCATATTTTTCTGAATGATAAATATGTAATAATTTCTAAGTAATTCCATCATTCCTTCTAGATGTATTAGTTGGATTTTTGCTGTAAGGAAGACCTTTATCTCTTGGCTAACTTATCTCTGTGTAAACTTGTGGATGCTCATTTTATTAAATAGGTTATAATTTTTATTACAGTATTATTTACTTGCTTACATCTTTCTTTGAGCACTGGCACCAGAGTAATATTCCCGGTACATCCTGTAACTTCCCCAATGCAGTTGTGGAATCAGTTATTTCTCCAAGTAGTTGTACTTTATTGGACAGGGTCTTTAGAAATCAAGATTTGGGCTTTGGGTGTACTTACTGTTTCTGAGGAATCATCACCTCTCTAGGCATTGCTAGGACAGTATTCATACCTGTATATACACATATGCATATAACCTACACATGTATGTGTCTGTTTAATGTAGGTGCACATCTATCTCTATATCTGTATTCACCTGCCTACCTAACAACAAAAACAATGCCTTTAATTGATACTTCCAACACTTTTAACCCATCATTGAGGACATTCTGTCTTCTTTTCTTTCAGTGTTAGTAATTTCCTTCTTTGACCATCAGAAACTTGACTCTTACTATCCATAATATTTTTTCCAGTCCTAGAAACTACAGGACATGGTTTCAGGATTATTTACTAGTTCATTTTTCTGTGAAAAAAGGCCTGTATTTATTTAGGGCTTTTTTGTTGTTATTGTTGAATTTGAGGTCATAGAGATTAAATACTTTGTTCAAAATTTCCATAGGTTCTTAGGCTGCACCCCCTCCCCCAATTACATTAATTATTGTATACAAAGTTTGGTTCATTAGCTTCAGTTTATATTTGTATTCCATCTTAGCCACTGCCTTGTTGTTTTGGCTTGTATTTTCCTTCCTTCCTTCCTCCCTCCCTCTCTCCTTCCCTCCCTAGGCAAGCACTTCTACTGCTTGAGCTATGCCCCAGCCCTTACTTATTTTCTGTTTTTAAGTTTGCAAAAATATTAGCATGTTTCAAAAGTCAGAACTATATACAAGAAGTTACTAAGAAAAATGTCCACACTGTTCCTATCCACCTTTCAATGCCACACTTATTTTTTCTGTAGTTTTTGACATGAGTATTCAGATATTGAGGCACATGTATATGTGTACGTGTGTGTATATATCTATGTATATATATAATTTTCTCTGATTAAAAGATTGCAGTCTATCAATGTATTTTTCTTTGTTTTTTTTGTCAGATTGTTGGAGGCATAGCTTGGGGCTGAATTTCTGGAAGTGAGCTAGCTAAATCAAAAGCATACAGGTAGTTTTGAGAGATTGCCAAATTCCCTTCTGTAAGGATGTGTTAGTTGTATTCCTACAACAACGTACAAGAACATCTACTTCCTGACAGTCTTTTTACTGTAGTGCATTGCTTTTTAATTTTGTGAGAAGTCGTATTTCATTGAAGTTTTAGTTAGTATTTTCTCTTACTGTGAATGAGAACACCTTTTTATAAGTTTAATGACATATTTGTGTCTTGTCACTTGTCTGTGTATGTCTTTTGCTCATTTTTCTATCGTGCTTCCTTCAGTTTTTATAGTTCTTATATATATTAGTTCTTTATCTGGGTGTATGCTGCAACTATCTCTTCTCAGTTTAACTTGTCTTTTCAGTTAATGTGTTTATTATATTATAAATTTAAAAGGTTTTTTTTTTTTAGAAAATATGGAGCACTTCATGAATTTGTACGTAATCTTTGCACAGGGGCCATGCTAATCTTCTCTCTATTATTCCAATTTTTAGAATATGTGCTGTCAAAGCAAGCACTAAAACGTTGTATATAGTTAGATTTATCAGTCTTTTATTGGATTTGGCTTTAAAAAATTTTAGAGGTATTGTGGATCTAACTCAAGGCTTTGTGCTTTCTAAGCAAAGGCTCTATCACTTGAACCATATTCCTAGTCCTTTGCTTTTAGTTTGTTTTTCAGATAGGGTCTTGTATTTTTGCTTGGGCTGGCATTGGTGGACTGTGATCCTCCTATCTCTACCTCCTAAGTAACTGGAACCACAGGAATGTACTGCAACACCCTGCTTGTTTTTGAGATATGGTGTTGTTACCTTTTTTGCCTGGGCTAACCTGGAACTGCCATTCTTCTGTCTGCAGTTCCTGAATAGCTGGGATTATAGTCACATATCACTATGCCTGACCCTGGATCTGGCTTTTGAGTCATAGCTAGAAAGCCCTTCCCTATACCTGCGTTAAAAAACAAGTAACCCATGTTTTTTCTCTGATGCTTTCTCTGATCAGAAAATGATGATTTCATTTTGTGTGTTTATGTGCATGATTAGTTTGGTGTTTATTCTTTTGTATGGTATAAAGAACGGCTCTAATTTTATTCTTTTCCAAATACAGTCATGCATCATTTAACAAGAACAGTACATTCTCAGAAACACATCATTAATTCCTCATGGTGTAGTTATTATGGCATACTTATACAAACCTAGATGGTATAGGTCAGTCACTGAATGTGGCCTTTTGGTGCAGTAGAGAAAGTGGCTGTTGCTGATGTTACAGTCAATTTGTCATAAGAAGAAGTAGTTCACAGTAAATAATGATGAGAAGGATAGTATACTACATACATAGCCAGTAACATTGTTGTTTATTATCATTATCAAGAGCTATGTACTATACAGAGTTGTGTGTGCTGTATTTCTTTATGACTGGTAATGAAGGGGGTGTGCTTACACCAGGATCATCGCAAACACATGACTAATTCATTGTGCTGTGACATTACAGAAGACACGTTACTAGGCAATAGGAAGTTTTCAGCTCCATTGTAGTGTTCTGGGACCACCATGTTTCTGCGTGGTCTTTCTTTGATCAAAATATGGTTATGCAGCAGTTGGCTGCACTGCTCAAACACTGTAATTAAAGTCCATCTTTTGCACAGTGATTTGACATGTAACCATCATGTACTAGAATTATACATTTATTTGGATCTATAGCTGTACTTTATTCTTTTGATCTTGTGTCTGTTCATAAGCAAGTATCACATTTACTTAAAGAGGCTTTATAATGCATTTAGTATCTGGTAGATCTATTTTCCCCTGGTAGCTTCTCCTTTTTAATGTTTTCATGGATAGTCTTGCATGGTTTTGTGGTTGCTCGGGTGTTTTTTTTTTTTTTTTTTTTTTTTTGGTGGGACCGAGGATTGAACTCAGGTCTTTGAGCTTGCAAAACAGGCATGCTACTGCTTGAGCCACTCCTCAAGCCTTGCATGTTTGTTTTTATGTAGGAAATCTTGTATTAACTTGTCTAATTTTATAAAAATTCTTATTTATATTTTTAGTAACATTTACAAAGTTATGATTTAGGATGTTGGGTTATACTATGTAAAAATAAAGCTATCTTTCCATATTGTTTTCCATTTAAAAGTGTTTTTTCTTCTATAATTTTACATTTCTTAGGAAATTTCTTTTTATTTTGCCTTTATTGCTATTATAAAAGTTTTCTTGAACATCATATCTCCTCACTGGTTAAAATTTGTCTGAATGAAGGCTGTTTATTAACTTCTGTATGTCCATTTTATATCCATTGTTACTGAACAATGATTTTATTGCTTGAATTAATTTTCTAGTTCTCTAGGGTTTTCCAGGAACATGATCACATAATCTGAAAGTGGAGATAGTTTTACCTATCATTTAATCAACTCATCCACTTACTGTTCTGACTTATCTAACAGCTAATACCTCAGATGCAATTTTGAATACTAGTGGAGACATACCTGTTCTTGGTTATTTCGAAAAGTTTGTGTTTTTAATAAGACCTGGCTATATGACTAAAGTCTTTCTATTTTATCATGTTAATGAAATATCAATTCCTAGTTTCCTGAGTTTTAAAAAAATAATCCATTTTAGGTACTGAGTTTTTGTCAAAGATTTCTTTTTTTTTTTTTTAGCATCAGTGGGGATATTTATGCAATTTTTCTCCTTACATTTGTTAATATTAGGCATTTTTAGTGGATTTCCTAATGTTGAACCAACCTTGCATTCCTAGAGCTAATCTTACTATTTTCTCTTTATTTCTTTTTTGGCAACACACATACCCACAGCTCCCATGTTTTGTTTTCCATGTGGCATAGAAACATGTGTGTAAGCTTTTTATTTAGGACTTTGCACTAATATGCAGAAGGGGTATGAGCTTTAATTTTTTTTTTTCGTACTGTATCAGCATTAGGTATAAATGTTATTGTGTATTTATTTCCTATAGAAAAATTATGGTTTGAAATAAAATTTTGTTCTCCAATGTGATCATAAACTATACTGTTTATAAGGCCTACTTCAGATTATCTCATATCAGCTTTATGCTATTTTTCATGTAGTTTACGCCTTCATAATGTCTTCCTTATATCTGAATGTTGACTAGTCCATCAGTAAGATTTCCTTTTTTTTGGTGTTAATTATCTGCTAGCACATAGCAGTCAACCTTTGGCCTTACTTCTTTTCCTTCCTCTTCTCCATAGCAAGCCTCCAGAGTAGATTCTCTTCATGATTTAGAAAGTGAAGGCACTGGCTGAAAATTTCAGTTCAGCTTACAGGGCTGCATCCACTTGCACAAGTGCTTGTGTCCATCCTGGGCCACCCGGTGGTGCTTTGTGTGCATGCATTGCCCCTCCCCCGAGGCAAGAATACTGACTGCACATGTGCCCTTTTCTATCAGCAGACTAGGAATCTAGAGTAGTTTAATTTACGATTCTTGTTTTGATTATGACAGTGTTGCCTGTTATTTATTAGAAATTTGGACAAGTTGAAAATAGGAAATAAAGTATTTATAGCCTTACTATTCAGGAATAATCATTAATGACATTGTAATGCATGTTCATCTAATCTGTTTTCTGTGTGAATGTGTCAGTTCTTACCAATGTATAAAATGCTTATATTTAAAATCCTTTCCTCCTTTATTCAACTATAGAAGGATTGAATTAGGTCTACCTTTAAAAAATGCATAGTAGCATAAATAGTCATTATATGCTACTTAACATTATAAGAATTTTCCATATTAGCCACTTCAAGATTGTGTAATAGCTGCATAATTTCTAAGTAGTATTACCTTCATTTTGAAAGAGGTATATATTTAAGCCCTTTCTCTCTCTCTCAATGCTGAACATTGAATTCACATACTAGGCATGTGATCTACCACTGAGCTATAGCCCAGCCCGTAGTTTTTTGAGAAAGGGTCTCTCTGTGTAGCCAAGGTGTTTGCTACCATGTGTGGTGTCATCTCATTTCCTTTTATCATCATAATCAGGAAGAGAAACAAGACAGTGGAGGCGATTGGGGGCAGGGAGAGGATCATGGTATAAAAGAATATTAAAATATCAACAGTGTCAGAGTTACTATAAAACATTAACTGTTCTTTTGAGTCTCAGGGAAGAACAAAGGAGGGATGAGTGTGTTCAAGTTCAGGTTATGGAAGACAAAAATGCTCAGAGCGGGGTGGGGGTGGGGTATGAATCTGAAGGGGATGGGAGTTGCTTGGTGAGAATTGGATGTTGTTAGTGAATGAATTTGAAGGCAAACTCACAAGGGACATTGTTTCAAGCTCCTGGAAGAACACAAGCTGGGAGTGCAGGAACTATGGGGGGCATGGTGAGGGGCTGGGGGGCCTCAGAGTGGATGGTGGTCAAGTTTACCTTGCCTGAAGTATGATAGGCCTTGTATGAATGAAAGACATACTACGCCCCTTAGATCCAAAGAGAGTGCTGTTTTAAATATGAATTCTTTTAACTTTGATAAACAGCCTTTTATTTCTCAATGATTAAAGGCTCAAAACATAAATTCATAATTAAGGCCACCCTATAGTGCTAATTATTTTGTACTGAACTGTAATCCATTCACTTATGAAAACAGCTTGTTATTAGGCCCTTTTCTGTTTCTATGTGTAGTGGATAAGAGCTGGAGAGTTGGCAAATTTTAGGCACTATTATTGATTTTCTCGTACTTTTAAACATCAGTGGTTATGTTAATGTTGCTCAGCAGCCCTATAAGTAATTAGGCAGGTTATTTTGTTAATATCCTTTTATTTTAATTGTTTTTTTAATAAAAGACATATTAAAAGGCTTAATTATTTTCCATGTGATTTAAAGGTATAATTTTATTCTTTCAGCTCTTATCTTCATTGTCAATGGGCATCTGTAGAAGATCTGGAAAAAGATAAGAGAATTCAGCAAAAGATTAAACGATTTAAGTCAAAACAGGGCCAGAACAAATTCCTTTCAGAGGTATGAAATACATGGTTAATTTTCAAAAGTGGTTGCATTATTAAATATTCTGAAGATTAAATTTTAGTTCAGTAAATTATTAGGAAAAACTAGTATGCCTCATTTGGTGCTATTACTTGCATATTGGTAACTGGTTATTGCTAAAAAGTTTGTAAACAGGAAATTTCTCGTTCTTCCTGTTGCTTAGTCTAAAAGATCTTGGTCCTTACAATATGATGTGGCAATACCAGTGATGGTATGATTAAAATCTTATAGTGAAAGTGCATATATTATGTGAAAAAAGCTAAGTATCTGAAAGTTCTGTTGAGATTTAGCAGGTTAAAAACTATAGTAAATATGAAGTACAGATTCTAGGATATCTAAGTTTAACTTCTGTTGGGGAAAGTATATGGCAGATTTCTTTTGTTCAGGTCTGTGCTTTTCACACAGAGTTCACTGATCTTATTTCCACAAATGCTGTGCCATGGTAGAGAAACTGGTATAATGTCTGCTTGTGTCCCTTTATCCTAGGTTATCAATTATGGAAAGACAGCATACCTAGGGCAGGAAAGAAAATCTGCATTTATAAGAAGCCACATTACCCATGCCTGACATTAAATCAATTACTTTTTTTTTCCTGGGGTCTCTGAACCACCAGTTTGGTTTCACTAACAACCTCAAGTAGATGTCAGATAATATTGAAAGATAAGACTTGCTTAGTTCTTAGTTCCCCTCCTCATAAAGATTTAACCAGGATTGGGGGTATAGCTCAGGAGTAGAGCACATGCTTATTATCAAGTTCAAGGCCCTGGGTTAATCCCAAACACTGGAAGGGAGGAGTAAAAATAAGCAAATAAGTTACTTGAATGTAAAGTGTAAAGAAGTATGAAAATCGATGCAAAATCATAACTGCTTAACAGTCTGCTTCACACTTCCATCCTTTTGTGGAAATGAGGAAGGTGGGGCAGACATAAGAGCAGTTAGTATTCTAACACCGTGAAATTCTCCTGGGAGTCTCAGGGGTCACTGACTCTGCTACTCTGAGCCAGCCTTCTTCATAGTGCAGTAGTTTGCACTGAGTGGAAGTTAGTTTAATATCACTCAGTTCTTACATCTGACAGAGTATTAAGGTGATTTTTTGAAAGGGCAGTCTTGAGGAAAATAAACCGTATGTCTTATTTTTTGTGCCTTTTTTAATGAAAGCTTAATTTTTTGAGACATTGGGTGAGTTGAAATCATTAGCTTCTGTTTAGAAAAAGACACCATATGTTCTGTTGACCTTTTCTGGGGGGGTCTGTGGAAGGGGGAAAAGGAAGAGCACAATGGTAGCTTTCCTTCATCCTTAAATCCTAGTTCTGTTTATTAAATTTATTTGGACTCTGTTTCCTGTAGTCATATGCTCTTTAGGGATTTTGCCAAGCTGCGCAGCCTGTCTATCTAAACCTGTCATCCATGTGAGTTGCTTGTACCAAGGTTGATAAACATAGTGTTTGGTAAATTGGCATTTAGAAATCGTAAGTTCTGTCCTAAATGGGAGTTAGCAGAGAAGATTAACAACTTTCTCTGCCCACCCCACCCCCTTTTTTACACATGTACACACTGTTTTATCCTGTAGGCAATCATGGTTTCAAGTATTCCATGACTCTGCTGCTGTTAGGACTTTGAGTTAGGATTCCTTGTACATTCTTTGGTGTATCTTAGGCCTCCTTGTAAGTTTCCTGCACCTAAAATGTCTTTGCAGAAAGATGGCATAGATTGCTCACTTAAAGGGTAGGAATGTAGGAAAAGGTAAACTCAGCATCTTTATGAAATGAATATGAAAGCTTATGTTTAAAAACAAGTTGCCTAAAAGAACTTTTGCCATGCATACCTACTTTGTGAGAAATGTTAGTATTTATGTTGTATATGAATAATACATACATACTGTTTACCTAAATCTAAGAGGTTTTTGACAAAGCCAATGCATTTATAAATTAACATTTTAAATTAACTAAACATTTCAGTGTATCTTTTCCCCCTACTGTTCACCTCTGTACAAAAGTCTGAGTCACATTTTTGTGTTTCTGCTTTTTGTTTCACAACTCACAGTCCAAAGTACCCAAACTGGGCATTTTAACTGGGCACAATAGCATAAACAATGAGTTCTTCCTGAGCACGTTGTGGCTGACAGCTGATCTTTTTTTTTTTTTTTTTTTTTTTGTGGTACTGGGGATTGAACTCAGGGCCTCATGCATGCAAGGCAAACACTAAACCACTAAGCTATATCCCCAGCCCATAGCTGATCTTTTTAACCTGCAGTTCAGGGGATAAAATAGTGTCTAAGTGACTTCTAATATTCCTTTTGCAAAATATTTAACACAATTATCTTGTTAAATTAATCTGTAGCAACACATAATGATGTGTTATTTTGTGCCTCAGATTTGAAAAAATACTGGACCTAGGCTTTTTAAGTATAGCTTGGTCTATAACTTCCTTTCAAGCCATATTCTATTTCTTCTGTATGAGATAACTTTGTGAAGAAGCAGTATTGCTTAATATTTTAAATATTGTTAAAATATTAGCTAAGTAACTCAATTATTTAGGCCTCATTTCTTTATCCTGAATTCTTTTACTCAAACCCTTGATGCTCAGTACAAATAAATCATTTGAACATTTAAGATTAATAACAAGACGTTTATTCTAAATAGGTGCTAATATTGATTGGTGAAGATATGAAATGGTTTCGGTGTTTATGGCTTATGAATAACATTCTGTAAATGATTCTGTATGGCATCAGACAACTGAAGTAGTTATGAGACTCTGGTAGTACTTACTGAGCATGGCACTGGCTCTTTATTGCAAACTGTACTTTAAAGAATGCTAAAGACATTGCATGTCATAAGCCTTTTGGATTGCTCATTAGTGAATTGTAATTTCACACTTCATTTAAAATATTCTTAAACATTCTCTCACAGTAAAAGGTTTCACACAGTAATTAAAAGACCCAGTTAACAAAGTCTGAGAAGTCTGATTTCCTCATGGGGAATGATTTTGCTAAACTGTAGCATTTCAATTAATGTAATAGAATTTGCCAAATACGTATTTTATATTGCTGTGACCCAAAATATTATTGCCTGGTGAAAAGTGAAATAGTTTTTCCTTTCAGGAAATAACTAAATGTGTTGACCTTTTTTTTTTTTTATCCTTTGGTGCAGATTGAGGATGAGCTTTTTAATCCAGATTATGTGGAAGTTGACCGGATAATGGACTTTGCACGTAGCACAGATGACCGGGGAGAGGTAACAGGAGATCATTTGTGTTCCAAAGTGATAGCTCAGGCGGGTCATGTGTCTTTACAGAGGAGATGAGAAGCTTACACCTGGCCCTGGTCAGAACCTTGGATCATGATGTACTTGGCCTAAGTTTAACTGAAACGTAATGATTTATTGTTAGTTTTATGACTTACTAATAGTGCTCAATATTTTTTCTATTTAGTTTGAGAGTTTTTTTGTTTAAACCAATCTGAATTACATTGGCATTTTTCACAACTCTAGAATATGATTAATAAAGGCCTCAGTACATTTTGGTATGTATGTGTCGTATAGCACAATGTTCCCATATATAATTGAGAGTACTCTTGCAGCAGAAAGGAGTTTAATGCTATTTGGCATTGGACATCTTAGTGAAGCCGAAGAACTTCATTTAATGAGGTGCCCAGAGGATAATAGAAAATACTTCTGTTTATGAGATCCCAGATTTGGCATTCCCATATTGCTTTGCAAGTCCTATGCAGTTGCGAAGCACATTTGATAAGGAAATAAAAATAATGACAAGTTTAGTGATTTGTGTGTTTACCTATGATGAGTTCTGTCATTCCTGGTTACTTCATGTAAATTGAGCTTTATATTTAAGTGTTTGGATCTTGCTTATCTAGGTAGGCTCTGCAAGGAACTCCCATTTTACTCTAAACTTTCTACATTGAAATTGTATAATGTTTTAAAGACTGCATCATTATCTGTATTTTTCTAGGTCTGCTTGGTTGTACTTAGAAAAATTGTTTCATAGCATATTTACATTGTATAACAAATAGTTTTAACATTACATCCAGGTCATTGTATCTTGGTCTTGAAGTAAAAGTCAGCAAACCCAAATGTTTTCTAGAGGAAAGACGAGGGAAAATCCTACTAGCTCTCATGACCCAAAATATTTTGCCCTTTAATCTTCTAGAAGTCAAGTACATAATTTTAATGTGATGGGATACAACAAATAGCTCTTTAAGGAAAAGGAAGATATTCTACTAAGCTTGTCTGTTTTTTAATTCTTTAATAAACTAGTCAATTGTGTAAACATGTAAATATCTAAGATGATTTACTATAGAAACCTGAATAATATACATGAAGAGTGATTTGCTCAGATGAAAATGAGGCTCAAGTTTAGCTTCTTGTTAATTTATTAGTCATTCCTTTTACTTTCTGACTTTTGAACATTACTAATGATTCATGTAAAAAATTAATTTGTTCTAATAATACCCCGTAATACTGTTTCCAGTTTAGAATAAAGACAACTATTTAGTAGTTATAGTCTTACTGATGCTGGGGTAGTATCTATTGATAAATGAAACACTGCACAAGTTTTTTCTTAATGTATAATATTTGTCAAATAAATTCAATTTTGGTTTATTTAATCCTGGCCCAGCCTGTGACTCACTATCTGGTGAAGTGGTGCTCACTTCCTTATGAAGACAGCACGTGGGAGTTGAGGCAGGACATAGATCAAGCAAAGATCGAAGAGTTTGAGAAACTCATGTCCAGGGAGCCAGAAACAGAGCGTGTGGTAAGAACTGACTCACAGTAGAGGTCTTAATTTGAAAATATCATAGTGGTGTGATCTTTGAGAAACCACTAATGGGATTTACTGTATTTGAAACAGGAGCGACCTCCTGCTGATGATTGGAAGAAATCGGAGAGTTCCAGGGAGTATAAAAACAATAACAAACTCAGGGAATACCAGTTGGAGGGAGTAAACTGGCTACTTTTCAACTGGTACAACATGTATGTAAAACAAGTTTTTCTTTACTTTTAAAACATGGCATAGAAATACTAATAAAAATACTTGATATTTAATGCTAATAATTTTTTTTTAAAATAAAGCATTGAAAATAGGGTTAGTATTATGCAACAGATATTAATATAGAACTTGACAGAAATAAATCGTAGTGATTTTTATTTCTTAGAGAATTTTGTTTGAAAAATATATTTTGTTGAATCTACAATAATAGCTAAAACCATTTGGATATGCATTTGTAAGTAAATATAGCTATATATTTTGTGAAAAGACAGCAGTATCTAATATCTACACTCACTGAACTTTCACATTTTATTTCTCTTTGAAGGCGAAACTGCATTTTAGCAGATGAAATGGGTTTGGGAAAAACTATCCAGTCCATTACATTTCTCTATGAGATATATTTGAAAGGAATCCATGGCCCTTTTTTAGTAATTGCCCCATTGTCCACAATCCCCAACTGGGAAAGGGAATTCCGAACTTGGACAGAGTTGAACGTGGTTGTGTACCATGGGAGTCAAGCTAGTCGTCGGACCATTCAGTTGTATGAAATGTACTTCAAAGATCCCCAGGTAAAACTTCTTGTGTTGTGCTCCTGGTGCTTACTATGAGCATTTTAAGGTGTTAAAAACTAAAAAGTTCAGCAACATGGGGGAAGTTCTTAATTTTGACAATTGAGAAATTTGTTTGAGATTATCTTTCTACATCTGTGAATAGTGCTCTTTATTTTTGTAGCTTTTGTTATTCTGATTGTTTGGTTAGAAAGAATGAATTTTTTTTTTACCTTGGATGACCACTATATCCATTTAATGCATTTAATGCAATAATATGATTTATTTATTATGCCTAAGACAAAACCAATCAAAAATGTGAATAGAGAGAATATTTTGGCATCCTACTACTAGAAATGAAAAACATTAGGCATTACAAAAATCCAGATAGATCCAAGAGGAGGGATTTATACTTTGACTCTTAGTGACAGTTGCTGTAAATTTTCTCGATTCTAGTTACTTATCTGCAATTATTGTATAATATAGACAGTGAAATATTACAAATGATATAAGGAAGGATAATATGTGAAATAGTTTTAAGCTATAAGTAATAAATGGATATCCTATAATTGGAAATAAGACCAAGTTTGTTTTATATGTTTGCTTTTTTACTGTAAGTATAAAATCTGACTTACAATTATATAAAGAAAAATATTGAAATCTGTGTTTTTATTTATCTTTATCTTTATTTTATCATGAAGTTCTGTCCAAAGTGAATGTTTTCACTTCAGATGTTTTAGCATTTTACAAGATGTGTTGAAAGAGTAAAGTAAGTTATAAAAGTTTTTAAAAAGAAAAAATTTTTAAGGGCTGGTGGAGTGGCTTAAGTGGTAGAACACCTGCCTAGCAAGCATGAGGACCTGAGTTCAAACATCAATGCTGCCAGAAAAGAAGAAAAGAAACCATTAAAAAAATTTTTTTTTTTTAAAGTTTAAAATGTTATTTTAACATTCGATCCCCTTGGCCTTAAGCCTTTTAGAGTCCCTGAGATATTCCTAGACTGGATGTACTTAATGGTACTTTACTGCGTGTGACCTATAAGGAAATTGAATCTAGAATTTTACTGACAATTTTCTAATTTATTTTAAATAGGAAAGGTTTGAAAACTTTTACCATAACAACTTAAAAGTCCCCACCAGAAAAATTGAGAACAGAATGTTACCTAAAATAAACAAGCCGCCAAGGGGATAAATACATCTTATATTGTTTATTCATCAGTGTTATTAATATAATCATTAATGCTTAATAATTCTGAGTTGTTCTTCTAGGGTCGAGTGATAAAGGGGTCCTATAAGTTCCATGCCATCATCACTACATTTGAGATGATTTTGACTGATTGTCCTGAGCTGCGGAATATTCCATGGCGCTGTGTGGTCATTGATGAAGCCCACAGGCTGAAGAATAGGAACTGCAAGCTATTGGAAGGACTCAAGATGATGGATTTGGTCAGTGATCCTACTGGTGAATCCACTGAACCTGAATAAGAATTGTTACTGGCTTGGTAGGCCTGCTGCTCTGAACTGGTTCCTATGAAGGGCATTTGCAGAAGCCTGTCTGACATTGTGACACAGTCTCCTGAACTGTCACTCAAAAGTTGTTGTTGCCTTCTTAATTCTTATGCTTATGCTCTGTGCTGTAGGACAGCTGAGTATAGTCATGATATATTTACTGAAGTGAGCTTCTGGTATTTGATTTACCCGTGTTCATAGATTTAATTGTGAGGCCATCCTTTGCCTTAGAGATGATAGTCCAGCTATGTTCTGAGTCACATAGGTTTTGTCCCACTGGGACCAGTCGGACTTGTAGATGCAAGTTCTCAGTAAGTTGGCTAGGATATCTGGTATTGGTTTAGTTTGTACAGTTGCTTAAACCTGTGGGGAATTACAAGCTCTCAAATTTGATCTGGAGTTTTACACCATATCAATCTCATACTCTTTCATCCTCCCAAAAGATAGTCGGATCATCCTGATTTTCTAGATTTTTTTTTTCCTGTATACTATTGTAAGATACCATATTGTAGGAGTAGTAGAATTTGGTTAATTTGTTGTGCCCTGCTGTGATATAGTTGATATGTAGCAGAAATTGCTGCATGACCTGTCTTTGAGTTTCTTTTCCCCCCATCCATAAGTTGGTTATGACCATTTGGTTTTCATTTTTAGTGCATACTTTAAAGTTATTGTCACTTAGGGTGTCTTAGGTGATTTGATGAGTGTCAAATAGTTAAAAAAAAATCAAAAATTTTTTTCAAACTTCCCTTTAGTACTGACACCTGTAGATTAAAATGATCCCTTGTTAATTAGAGTTAGAGATGGAAAGGAATATTTTGTCTATTCGTGGTATAAGGCTATAAGTTTTTTACTTAAAGATAGGAACTACTGAAGAGAACACCTGAGAGCTCTCTGTTGCAGCTTCTTTGAACTAGCTGCTTGTATTCTTAAATTATGAGGATTGGATTAGCCAGATATTCTTATAATTACAAACAGGCAAAATCTAGTTTTGCTTAAAGGAAGAAGTCTGACTAAATGATCCTATTAAGAGGATTTCACATTTTTCTCTCTAATGGATTATTAACACTGTTCTAAGTCCTTTGTAAAACTTTGCCTTTTTTTGTGTTGTGTGTGGCCAATCCACAAAACAGCATGAGCATTTAGAAACAGGGAATAGTCAAAGACAAGGGGTAAGTGTATGGAAGAGGAGACTCCATGGCTGTCTTTGTCTATTTAGGTGATGCTTTAGCTTTACAATGAAGTAAGCATGTATTTTCAGGTAAAGACTCATGATTGTGATATATCTAAATTTATCTTGGGAGTTGGGATCTACTTTCATGGTGATCCACAAAGGGACAATTGTATGACCAATGAAACTCAATCAATCATCTGACTGAGTTTATTTAAGTTGTGTTCAGTTATTAGTTCAGATGTTCTTATTGCAAAACAGTCCTTCATTGGTGAGTGCAAATTGTTTAATTCTGCCAACAACAGATATTACCTATTTGTCATTGGAATACTTAAGCAATTACTTATTCTAACATTTTGTTAATGGGTTACAATTTGTAACAGATAATTTTTGTTACATATCAGTGTTCCTTAAACTTTCTTGCATGTGGAAAATAGTAATATTGTGCGCACACTGTATTAGACAGAAATGGGAGACCAGTCTTGTGGGTCCTGGCTGTCACAGCCCTACTGGCTACCCCAAGGATCTTTTGGCTAGCAGGAAAGCTTTAATTAGCAAATAATAAATTATTTATTTTCTGATGATTAAGAATCTTTATCTCTTGGCTGGACACAGTGGCTCACACCTAATCTCAGCTACTTGGGAGGTGAAAGAGGATGAGGCCTGTTATTAAGACCCTGTCTAACAAAGAAGCTGAGCATGGTGGTACATATCTATAATCTCAGCTAAATGAGGAGGCATAGATAAAAGGATTGACTTTGGGTGAAAAAATGCAAGACCCTATCTACAAAATATCCTAAAGAAACAGAAGAGATAGTTTTAAGATAGAAGATATAACTGTTGTTCAGGTATCAGAATTTATTTGTATTTGTGCAGTTCTTAATAGCTTGTTGCCTAGTGTTCAAATCCTTACTTAAATATCACTAGAACTTAAGCACTTGCCACTTTTTACACTTCTTTTCTAGAGTAAGTAGTAACTCACAGTAGAGTTAGTAGTAACTATATGCAAGTACAGCAGAGGTCTTAGGAAACTTCTGTTACTTGTGCTACACTGAGCTAGATGAAAATGTGCTTGATGGGGGTGATCTCCAAGTTCGTTCTCAGAAAAGGAAGACCACTTGGTGTCTTCCCCTCTCCCAGAATGAGGAAATGTTTGTGAAGATGATACATGGAGTGCAGTGACCACCTCCACATTCCTCCATAGGCGCTCTGGGAAGGGCAAAGCCATCTCCTTGGCCCTCGTCAATGAGGAAGGGATGCCACAGAGGTCGTAGTCATTCGTTGTTGATTGTGTTGTCTCCTCTTGCGTTGTTAGGAAGCCCCACACAAATGAAAGATTCTGCTGAAATGAAACTATGCACAACACTCCATCAAAGTGAAAAGGAACTTAGGGAAAAACCGTATTTGCTGGTGTAGTCAAGCTTGGAGGTGATGGTGCTCAGTAGCCTGAGTGGGGTTTCCTTTTTTTTGTTTCAAATAACTTTATTTTGAAATCAATACATTAAAAAGTCTTTAACTTTCAAAGCGTTCAGTTAGGTTTCAGGATTTAAGTCAGTAACAAAGGATATGGGAGACAATTAGTACGATATTACAGCTCTTCCACTGCAGTGACTCTCTCCTGAAACTTTGGTGGCTTTTAAAAAAATTCTCGGATAAAGTCATTCAGGACTTGGGCATATAAATGATTGTGGTCCATGAAACATACCAGCGTGCTTATATGGTAAAAGATCTTGAATTGATTTACAAACTCCTGTCAGTTCATGAATTTAATCAGTGAAGATGATGGTGGGCCATCCATTTTCAATCAGAGACCTCTATGAGGGAAGAAAAAGAGGAATGAAAACATTGAACTACTTCACTCCACTTTCAAAGAACTTCATTGACACATCGATGAGACATGGCAGTTATTAAGGAAATTGTTTTATTTTGGGGTCAGGGTCTCACTAGTTAGGTCAGGCTGGCCTTGAACTCAGTAGGTCACCCAGGCTGGCCTCGAACTCATAATCTTCCTGCCTCAGCCTTCTGAGTGCTGGGATTACAGTTGTGAGTCACCACGCTCAGCTGATTAGTATGTTCTAACTTACATAATTAGACTATTATTTACTGAACATATATTCTGCTTGGCACCGAGTCTTACCAAATTCCAAGTTAAGTCAGAATATAGCTTTTGAAACTACTAGAAGCCATAGTCATTTTCTAAAATAGTTTTGTCACTTGTGCTATACGTCAAATAACCAAAGTAAAAAAAAATATTAAGGGTGTCAAGATTTATAAATTCACTGTTAAGCCTGGTCACTTTAAAATAGGTCCTCAGTGTTGCATATCTGGAAATAGCAGGACAGGGTACAGCTGTGTAAGGAGAGATGGAGAAAGAGCTCATAAACGGAAGACTTAATTGAAGAAATACTGAACTTGATTCAAAGAGACAAAATTGGAAATTGCATGTGATTTTTTTTTTTCTTTCTCTTTTTTTTTGACATAGGGTTGGTCCCATGTATGTCCAGGTTGGTCTTGAACTCACAATCCTCCTGCCTTAGCTTCCCGAGTACTAGGATTGCAGATGTGCACCACCATACCCAGTGTAGCATCTAATTTTAAAAACAAAACAAAAGATTGTAGTATTTAAAATCAAGCTGACTTTCTTTGCCAGTTGGAAACTTTTGCAGAACAAAATAATTTTTCATATGCTGTTGCATTTAGAAGATCTTTTGTCTCTAAAGTGAGTCATACAGGAAGCAGATAGCAGGTAAGCATTCTCGAAGTACAGGGATTTAAAAAAAAAAACCCAAAACTTAAATTGACTTAGTAGCTTCCCAAGGAAGCAAAATGGCAAAAAACACTTAAGGAGTCTGCAGAGTTCAAAAGAGGACAGACCCTCCACTTGTCTTCATCTGGAGCATGGAATTTGTTGATCTCAAATCTGTCTTCATGCCTAATTTCTACACTTTCTATAGTTGGTGCTGAGTTACTACAATGAGCAGAAGTAGAAAAAATGGATATGTTAGAGAAAAGCATTTATCTATACTGTTTTTGTCATAGTTTGGTCACTTGCTTTGCATGTTACTGTAGGAGCATAAGGTGCTGCTGACTGGGACCCCACTGCAGAACACTGTGGAGGAGCTCTTTAGCCTGCTGCATTTCTTGGAACCAAGTCGCTTCCCTTCAGAAACCACCTTTATGCAAGAATTTGGTGATTTAAAAACAGAAGAGCAGGTACTTATCACCTCTGTTTTATATATTCTAGTCATAAAATGGAAGATTAAGTCATGAAATTTCAAAGCATTAATATTGAAGTATTTTAAAACAAATTTTCTCATCTTCCTCACTCATGACAGAGTTCCCATATCCTTCCCTTCACTTGGACTTTCCAAGCTATCATTATGAAGGTTTTCTTGTTTATGTGTTTGCCCTGAGAAAGGGCTGTTGAGTTATATAGAGAAGTTATATATCTGTAGACATAATTTTTGGAGATGCCTGTGCTATTCAAGTGGTAACTTTGCTATGTGTACCTCCAGGGACAATATTAGAAGTCCCTGAAGTTTGTAGAGTTATTTGCTTATTTGAGTTTGGAGTTTTACTCTCATTTCTGAACTATGTATACTTGGATACATTGCTCACTCTTTTTTTTTTCTTGTGGTACTGAGAATTGAGCCTGCTTGCTAGTCAAGCGCTTTACCATACTCTCAATTCTTTTGATTTTTTTAGTTTGTTTTTCAGATAGGGTCTTATGCTAACTTTTCCAAGGTAGCCTCCAACTGAGATTCTCCTCAGTAGCTGGGATGCTAGCTTTTTCAAGCCTACACAGTTTCAATTTACAAACATAAGTTATAACTAGCTCACAAGATTTCTGTGAGAAATAAATTAGGTTCAGTGTGGGGAAAGCACTTGATTACTTTATGTATGGTGAAGTTTATGTGTTTCATATACTATATTTGAAATAAACATGGAGAGATGGGCTTGTTACCTTGGTCTTTTTGTGCTTTCTCCCCAATTTACTGTCTTAATACCTCCTAGTTCACTGTGAAGTTTGTTTTGTTTTGCTTTTGCAAAATAAAAACTGTGTGTTATACCAATCAATGGAAAGGTGAACCAGGAACACATCTGCTTGCTCATTGATATAGGCAGAGACTATATAACTTTTGGCTTATTCCCTCTCTCTTTTTTTTTTTTTTTTAAGCTCTTTCTGCAAAGGAAGAGAACAGAACAGTTTCCTCCCTCTTCCTCATCACCCTAGGACTTGAGACAGATAGAAGAGAAAATTATATTAATAAATTCCCTTTTTTTTCCCTCCATTATGAGCTTTTCAAGCCCTTCTGGCTGTTCAGGAATCCTGGGTAGGTAAAATCGTCCATTTGACATAGAATCATCAAAGAAGAAAGGAAAACGAAGAAAAAAAAATCTACTCTTGTGTTTCTTATGAAAGTGGAAACAAAGAGCTGAAGCTCTTTGAAAAATGAAAAAATACTCACTTTTTCATATCATTAAATATGATAATCCTGGGTTTTATTTTAAGTTGTGTTTTAACATGTAAGCAAATGGTGATATCAGTATTTACCCGAGGTCCTTTTTTAGGTGCAAAAACTTCAGGCTATTCTAAAGCCAATGATGTTGAGACGGCTCAAAGAGGATGTAGAAAAGAACTTGGCCCCCAAAGAAGAGACCATTATTGAAGTTGAGCTAACAAACATTCAGAAGAAATATTACCGAGCCATCCTTGAGAAGAATTTTACATTTCTTTCCAAAGGTGGTGGACAAGCTAACGTACCTAACCTTTTAAACACTATGATGGAATTGCGAAAGTGCTGCAATCATCCGTACCTGATCAATGGTAAGCATGCCTGCTTGTTAACTCGTGTAAATAATGTAGCAGCTCCAGAAATCCCTTTCTGCTCTGAGACTAAGGGATGTCATGGTACATAGTTGTTATTACTCTGTTCACTCAGGTGACGCCTCCCCTGTGGTTGCTGAAGGCCAAGTGACCAGTGTTTTCTTGGTCCTGAAAGTGTGATCACCCTTGTCCAACTCCTTTCATGAAAAGGAGTAATTCGTGCTCCATAGTGAGAAGTCATCAGAAATACTGTCAGCTCACAACATTAGTCCTGACAGGTTGATTGATGTTTTCTTGGTGTATGTATGTGTTTACATGAGAGGCACTAAGGAGGATTTCCAGTGTGGGGCAACAGCTATTAGCTATGTCAGATGTCCTCAGATTCCTTATAGTCTGGAGGCCTTCAGAAGCACGTTTTCAGGAAGAATATGAGCTGATCTTAACTTTGCCTGTAGTTTGTCCCTGTTACAATGGAGACTTTATGGATTTCCTGTTTTCTTAACTAAATCCATAGTGTTATATAACTTATATGGGTTAAAACTCTCTTCTATACTTCCAAAATGTGGTAAGGGGAGGGGTATGTCATGCTTGTGGGAACACACCCTCCAGGGAGCTTCCAGGATGTCATGGGATAGAGATTAGAAATCTTTAGAAGGTACGGCATGTGAAATAAGCCTTCAAGGCTAGGAAGGGTTTTGCCAAGTAGAATTAGAGAAGGAAAGGACCTCAAGACTGAACGCATAACACAAGCAAACAGGGAAGCATGAAAACAAAGGGAGAACTTGCCCAAAGTATAACCATGTGTGAGAAATAGTGGGACCATATACCCTAGTCCCACTGGGACCCTGCTTTGAAGGCCTCAGATGTTAGCACATAGTACTTTGGCTCCAGTCTGTAGGTGAAGGAGAGCCACAGCTAGTGTTTGAGCTAAGCATTGATTAGAAATGTGGCTCTGGATGATCCATCAGGTAGCATTGTGTAAAAAGGAGTGGGGAAGGGACAGATGGATAAGCAGAAAGACTAACTCAGGCAGGAGCTATGGTAGCAGATAATGCAGACTAAAGGGAGTGGATACAGGCTAATTTTGGGGTACTTGTACACAATTATAATTGGCCAGCAGTGCAGTTAGGCTCCTTTTGAAGGAAGAAGGAAAAAAGCCTACTTGTGTCTTTATCATAATCCATGAGGGGTTCAAGGAGAGCTGATTTAAAGAGCTCCTAATCTTTTCTCCTTTCACAATGTACACCCACCAACCACTGTGGATCCAGAAGTCCCTGTTACTATAGCACAAAAAGTGGTCTGTGTTTGGAAGATGGACTCAGAGCTGAGGTCATTGCTTTGGTGTGAGTGACATCAGGGAATTTCTTTTTGTAAAAGAAAGTGTTTTTAGCTTTGTCTTCTAAAGAGAAAATCATGTATGAAAATTACATGTTTCATATAATAGTATGGTATCAACCAGCCTGTTCGTGAGTTGGGGCTTAGGGCAAATAAAGGTGTGAGTAGAAGATGCATACCAACACCCACACAGTTTTACATTAAAGAGCCGGTAAAGATAAAATAAATAATAATAGCCTCTAATGGCAAAGAAGAGAAAAGGAGATATTCCCAGAAGGGCTTGAATGCTGCCAGCAGGATGTATATAAAGGAGAGACAGGCTCAGTGCTGTTGTGAGATAGCCACCCCACACCACCAAGTTTGCCCTATTTGCTCACATGTTAATTGCATGCATTGAGCATTACTGGGTGTTTTCCCCCAAAATAGAGCTGGGGGTCTCTTCCATAGCTGATTGCTCTCCAGGGTCAGTCACCCTATACAGCTCATTTGTTTCTCAGGAGCCTCTGAGGACTGTCTGAAGCATGGCACCTGTGGCATTTGTTCTAATTGTTTGCACTTCTGAGGTCAGCTCTTCTGTCCTTACAACGAGTTAGAAAGTGTCTGTTAAGCAGGTGCCGTTGTGCCTTTATTTTTGGGAAATTGTAGTTAGAAAAAATATAGATGCATACACACACACCCCCCCTATAGCTGCCCTGATAACTTAGGTAGACATTATGTTTCAGAGGTTGCTCCAAGGCCAGTAGTATCCATTCTCATCCACAGTCTGGAAGTAACTTCCTGTCACACTGCCACAGAGCCATCCCTACACATGATTATTGAACATTTGTAAGTAAGTCTTTAATTTTAGAAACTAAATTGAAATGTACTGTTTGTGGCAGAGTAGAGCTGCCTTAATCAAAGTAAATTTCAATTCCACAGAGCACAACCTTTCTGCAGTTGTGAAAAATAGAAGCAACTTTATGCATGATTTGAGAGGAGTAGCAGGCACAACAGGAGAAAAATCTCAAGTGTGGTATAATGCAAAGTGTATAAAAATGAGAAATATTTTTAATATGACTTAATATTTTTTCTTTTTAAAATTTATTTATTAGCATATTATAGTTGTACCTGGGTTACTTTGTGACATTTACAAAAGGCTTACGGTATGTCTAAGTTAGATTCATCCCATCCATCTTTCTCCTTTATCCCCCTTCCCCTCTTTAGAACAGTTTCAACAGATTTAATTGTTCCATTTTCATACTTTATTTAGTATTGTTATTCAGGTAGTTGGAACACAGTTTAAGCGCTCCAGTAAGTGTTGCTAGTTATTTTTCTTGCTAAAAGTTAAGCAAGTAACTGGATCACATAAATGGTGTTACTATTATTGCCCCAAGCATTATTTGAATAGAATTTGTAGCTCCTTAATGTGAGTGTAAAAATAATGGTGAAAACATGTCTGAAGTCTTCTGATAGCTAGAGGTGACTTTAGAGTCTTTGGTTGTTAGTATTGGAGGTAGGGAGAGCATAGAAAATAGTGAGCAAGTAGAAAAATCAAAATAAGATTTACCTGATGGAAGGCAGGTAGGAGGAGATGGAGGCAGATACTGTTTAGGAGAAAAAACTAGTAGCTTTTTTTTTTTTTTTTCTGGTAATCTTCAAGAACAAAATGCTTTCTTGTTCAATCATAGCTAATATAACTAGATGACATAGTCATTGTCCTGACAGTGGCCATTTGTTGAAGTGAAGAGACCTCAGACTGGAAGTGAGTGCACTCTTATTTTAAGTTGCCTTTATATACACTATTAACTGAAGTACCACTTGTACTTTAATCTAGGGCAGAACCAGCAAAATATTTTGGCTTATCATAACCCATTCCTAATTAATTTTCTGACTCATATCTACAAATCTTTAGTAAATCTTCAATTGGTAATTTTGAAAACTTGGCTGTCACATCAAAAGGTAGAAATTACCCTCTTCCTCAATACCTTCCCTACCTTCTTGCCTTCAATGTTGCCATAATAAATACAGTGTTAAGAGAATCACAAAGAAAATATGTTGTCTGATGTTATTTTTAAATGAAGTGTTATTAGTGTAAATTGGCTACTACTTAAAGAACTGAATTGATCAACCTAGCAGATTTTGTCAGATAAGAAAGAATGCTGGGCTGGAGGCATGGCTCAAGAGGTACAGCACCTGCCTAGCAAGCAGAAAGCCCTGAGTTCAAACCCCAGTACTGCCAAAATAAAATAAAATAATGTATTATTAACCCCCCCTCTCCCTTTTCTCTCTCTTCGCTCTCTCCCTTTAACTCAGGGCCTCAGCTTGCTAGGCGGATGCTGTAACACTTGAGTCATTACTCTGACCTCTTTAGCATTGAAAAGGCAGAAGAGTTATTTTTCTCAATACATTTTTTTTAAAACTTTAAATGAGTTTAGGTTTCTCTACTAATTTGACTGAATTATTTATACTTTCAAACACTTTTACTAAAATGATCCAAGAATATTTGGTATTCATTTTCTTTGAAATGAGTATCTCACTGTTAAAAATGTTCACTGATCATTAACTTGCTTTACACTACTAAAAACATACTTAATTTTGATTATGGATTGTAACCTCCATATGAACAAAAATAATTGCCTGAATAACATATGAGTAACATCTGTAAGTTTTGAAGATCTTATAGTGTAGTATGTAGAAGAACCAACTTTCAAAACTATCTAACAGAGTATGTAACCTTAAATTATTTCCTGTTTCTTGAGGGCCTTCTGAATCTCAAACCTGGGTTTCTAAATTTCATGTTTTGAAAAACATCATCCAACTTCATTAAACAACATTCTTGCTAATGCTCTTAAACAGCATTTTGTTCTTTATCTTTTCCTAATAAAACCCTTGCTCTTTTCCATACTAAAAAAATCTGAATATTAAGTTTTTACTCATATGAAAGGGGGAATAAGGGCCAAACTGTTCTGACAGAGCTGGCATTTTCTCCCAGTCCCCCTTCTTAAGAAGGTAGTGTGTGTCACGGAAGACCCTAGTGCTTGGTAACGACATTAAGTGACTTTAATCTGTCCTCAGTGAATTCTTTGTTGACTCATAATTAACAAGCTGTGTATTTCTGTATAGGACCATGTCATACAGTAGGTTTCCCTTAAAATGGAAGTCAAATTATATTTTTGTTGCATCTTGTACTTCTTACAGAAGTGCCATCTTGTGTGACTGTAGTGGTTTATCTGACCCAACCTCTAAAACCGTTTTGTGATTGAAATATCCCCATCTTGCATATCACTAGTTCACCTGTTTAAAGCTGGTGGTAGGACAGATAAAGTTTCTGGCACAGTTAATCTTAGATGCATGAATTTGGTATATTTTCCACAGAACAGGTTAGCATCCTCCATGCTGGGGAGGGAGAGGGAAAGGGGTGAGACCAGCACTACATAATTCCAGCTGAGTTACCTAAGTAGTTAAGGAAAGCTTCTCCTGCTGCTTCCTGAATAAGCCCATGCTCAGGGTAGGTAGGAAATCCTGGGGCTTTGTTCTTTAGGAACATGTCATTTTCTTGAGTGCTTCTCTCCAATGCACTCAAGTCTTTCAACAAGCAAAAATCCACATGGGGGAAAGAGGGGTAAGCATTAAAAATTTAGAAGTTGTTTTCATTTTTAGTTTGAAAAAGTTTGGATAATTTAAGATGGAATTTTTGTATTTTAGAAAATTATCAAGTGAGAATGAATTTGGAAGACCTAGAAATTGTAGTAGAAGATGTATACCTAGGTTCTCCACAAAAATCCATAAAAGTTATATAGAAAATGAACTTCGCTTTCTGCAGTCCTTAATATACAATTATGGATCCAAACTACAGCCCTTCCACTTTAATTGTTAGGACTCCATTCCTTTGTTTCTTAGTTTCAGAACAGATTTTGTTGTTTGTATTTATATTCAGCTAGTAAACAGTTCATTTCTTTAGCAATTTAGGTTCCAATTTTTCTGTAGGTATCTGGCCCTTGGCTTGTTTCTGCCACTTCTGGCTTGACAGTCTGTTGTTGAAATTCAGTTTTACAGGCAGCAAACATTTGTTTGTTGAAAAATGTGATTTTTCTCCCTAAATACCTCAATGTGTGGTGCTTAAAACTTTGATCCCTTTTGTACAGCTATTATTTTATGTACACCCAACTTAAAAGTGGATGGATTCTTGATCATAAATAAGAGTGTGGGATTCTAGTTCCTGCAGTTTATGGTGGGTTTTGAAAGCAGATTCATTGTTTTTAGTAATGAAAACCTTTTACAGTATTCACGTTATGCTGTCCAATCTCTGCAGGTGCCGAAGAGAAAATTTTGGAAGAGTTTAAAGAAACACACAATGCAGAGTCTCCAGATTTTCAGCTCCAGGCAATGATCCAGGCTGCTGGCAAGCTAGTTCTGATTGACAAGCTGCTGCCAAAACTGAAGGCTGGTGGCCACAGGGTGCTTATCTTTTCCCAGATGGTGCGCTGCCTGGACATACTGGAAGACTACCTCATCCAGAGACGGTGAGGCCACCGTCTCAGAATAACAAAAAGGAAAGAAAAACTGGCCTTAGACTGGGCTCTGCAGGGTTCACCTACAAGTGACATTTATGATAAAAAGGGGATGGAATAAAAAAAAATCCGGCATATCTTCTTAAAATTTTAGTTGTACCTAGAGTTATTTTATATGATGACAGGAGGATATCGCATAGTTTTGTGGGCAGATTTCCTGCCATTGCTTTCATTTGCCTAAGGGAGAAGACTTCTTACTTAAAATTGAAGTTATTTGTTATCTTATGGAATGGTCAGCTATTTTCAGAATTTAGCTGTTTCATTGAAAAGAAAGTAAAATAAAATTTAATCTTTGGGCAGCCAGTTGCATAAAAACTTTTGAGAAATTGATCTGAAATGATTTCTGTTAAATTATATTGTTCTGTTAGTATGTATTCCATAGTGTAATTATTTACTTAAAGATTTAGGAACAAATAATATTGTAGCTGTTCGTAAGGCCTCCCTATTATTTTTATAGGTACCCATATGAAAGGATCGATGGCCGAGTAAGAGGCAACCTCCGCCAGGCAGCTATTGACAGATTCTCCAAACCTGATTCTGACAGGTTTGTTTTCCTCCTGTGTACGAGGGCAGGAGGTTTAGGCATTAATCTCACTGCTGCTGATACCTGCATCATCTTTGATTCAGACTGGAATCCCCAAAATGACCTCCAGGTAAGCACACAATGAGATCTTCCTGGTGCCCTTTTTTATTCTACTATGACAGTCCCCAGTCAGACCAGTAAATCAAAGTTGTGTCATGATTCAGAGCAATCAGCATGGCCAGTTTATTAATAGCATGAGAAGAAATCTCTAATGTATCAATCCTCTTCAATACTATACCTGTAATTATTGGAGTATAAAGTTTCATTACTAACAAGTGAGTCATGTCTTTTTTTAGCTGTAGCTATCTGGTCAGCATGGACTGCAGTAACAGAGTGCCATAAGTTGAATAGCTTAAACAATGCCCATGTATTTCTCAAAGTTCTAGAGGTTGGAAATCTGAGATCAGGGTTCCAGGAAAATTGGGTTCTTGCTGAATGAACCCTCCCTGGTTTACAGACAGCCCCTTCCTGCTATACCCTCACACAGAGGAAGGAGCATGCTCATTCTGCCCTCTTTATAGGAGCACTAATTCCATTCATTAGGGTGCCACCCTCCTGACTTAATTACCTCCCTAAATCCCCCTTTTAACTACAAATCTCATCACATTGGCATCAGAGTTTCAACACGAATTTAGGGGGAACACGAACATTCATCCCATTGCAATAACCATTAATTCTCTTTTTCTTCCAGGCTCAGGCTAGATGTCATAGAATAGGACAGAGTAAATCTGTGAAAATCTACAGGCTGATTACAAGAAATTCCTATGAAAGGGAAATGTTCGACAAGGCTAGTTTGAAGCTTGGTCTGGATAAAGCTGTGCTGCAGTCTATGAGTGGAAGAGAAAATGCTACCAATGGGGTAAAATAACACTTGCCCAAATCATTCATTTATTCTGGCTCTTTCCTTTAGTTAGCACTAGTAAGAAGTTATTTGGCATCTGGGTTTTTTTTCTGGTGGACCTGGAGGGTTGAACTCAGGGCCCTGTACTTGCTAGGCAGGTGCTCTACTACTTGAGCCATTCTGTCAGCCCCTTTTTATGTCAGTTATTTTTGAGATAGGGTCTCACTTTATGCCCATGCTGACCTGGACAGCAGTCCTCCTATTTGTGCTTCCCATCCCTGTAGCTGGGATGACAGACACATGCCACTGTGCTCAGCCTTTGGCTGAGAGTGGGATCTTGCAAACTTTTTGCTTGGGCTGGCCTCAAACTGAAATCCTCCCAATCTCCGCTTCCCAAGTAACTAGGATTATAGGTTTGAGCCACTGTGCCCAGGCAGCATCTGATTTTTTTTTTTCCTGTCTATTTTTAGCATATTTTGTTGCATTTTTCTTTGTTACAAATCAACCTCTGAGGAAAGTGGAACATTTTGTTTCTAAACATTTTAATTCTAAATTACTTTGAATATTAAGAATATTTCTCTAAAACAGGTACAACAGCTTTCCAAGAAAGAAATAGAAGATCTTCTACGAAAGGGGGCTTATGGTGCACTCATGGATGAGGAAGATGAAGGGTCTAAGTTTTGTGAAGAAGATATTGATCAGATTCTTCTACGGCGAACCCACACTATTACCATTGAGTCTGAAGGAAAGGGTTCCACATTTGCTAAGGTGTGAATCCATCTAAAGAGGCTGAGTATTTTTTTACAGCAGCATGGTAGAGTTCTTAAAGAGTGCTTTGTAAAACTGCTTATAGAATGCATTCATAAAATTTGCTTTGCATTATGAATTAACAAATTAATTACTACCTCCCTGGGGAGTCCCCAACACATAAAACATTCTTTGTATTTTGGGTTCTTTTGGTTGTATAGGACACCTGTTTTTGACCCCCATCCCCTCCACTTCTTAAATCTGGCACTGTCATCATCATCATCATCATCATCATCTTCTTTCCCTGATTCCTGAAAGAGCCTATAAGAATGATCAAGTCACCCCTACCTTAAAAATCAATCATCTGTTTTCCCCTCTGGTTGTAAGTCTTCCCGTAGCTAAAATCCACACCAGCATTATCTACTCCAGCTGTATCCTCTGCCTGCTTCTCACTTATTTTTCAATTTCCACATCCCCTTGCCCCTATGTCTGAACTGCTGTGGTCAAGAATGCTCTGAGTTCCCAACCATCCATCCACATGACAGCTCTTTCTGAGGGTTCACCTGCATTTTCTTCTAGCCATCCACACCAAGGCTCATTCTACATTTTGAGTTTATCAGCTTTATTGAAATGTAATTTACTTACCATAAAATTCACCTGTTAAGTGTATAATTCATTGCCTTTGACATATTGCAGGTTTGTGTAATCATCTGCACAATCTAAATTTAGATTGTTCCTATCACCCAGAAAGACCCTCATATTCATTGGTAGTCAGTCCCTATGCCTCCTCTCCCCCTCTCTGTTCACCCTAGTTCCTGGAAACCACTAATGTACTTTCTCTATAGATTTGTAAGTATGTGTTCCTTATAGACTATATCAGTAATTTGTTCCTTTTTGTTGCTAAACAATATTCCATTATAAAACATTTACTAGTTATAAGGTACATTTGGGTCTTTATCCATTTACTAGTTGGTGATGAAATTTGGGCTGTTTCTCCTTTTGGGTTATTGTGAGTAATGTTATGAACTTTTGTGTGCTCCTTTTTGTGTGGATATATGTTTTCTTCTTTCCTGGTCTAGACCAGGAGTAGAATTGCTGGATCATATGTTAACTTCATATTGAATGCTTTAAGGAACTACCAGACTGTTTTCTAAAGTGATTGCACCATGCTCCCTTCCCATCAGCAGTTTATCAGAGTTCTGTTTCCTCCACATCTTCACAATACTTTTTTTGTTGTTGTTGTTATACTAGTGTTTGAACTTAGGGCTTTGCACTTGCTACACAGGCACTTTACTGCTTGAGTTGCACTTCCAGTTCTTTTTACTTTGGTTATTTTGGAGTTAGCCCATGATCCTCTTATTTGACGTCTCCTGCCGTAGCTAGAATGACAGTGTGCTCCACAATGACCTTCCAAATGGGATATCAGGAGTTATTTTGTTGTTGTTGTTGTTCTTTTGTCCCCCTGGGCTGATCTGAAACCACAATCTTCCTAATCTTAGCCTCCCACGTAGCTTGGGATGACAGGCATATGCCACTGTACCTAGCTGTTAGTTGAGATGGAGTCTCATGATGCATTTCCAGGTTCTTTCCTCAGTCCTCACAAGCACTGTAAGTTCAGTCACCCCTGATCTGTTGTCCTCAATGCACACACCATCTGTCTACCTGAGTGTCACCATTCAGCTGCCAGAGTTGGATGCTGAGATTTTCCTTGGTTTCTGACTCTTTCATAGTTGTCTACTTCCATGAATTTTGCCCTTTAAAGAACATCTTTCTGGTCTGTCTCCTTTTCTTCATCTTTACTTTATCGTTTTCATACTTCATTATTTATTTAAATTACTACAGTGGCCTCTGTGCTCCAGGACCTTGGTGTGACCTCTAGTGTGTGACTCTTAACACGATCATGTCCATCTTGAGATTGCTTCTAATTTCAAATAGTTTGTGGCTCACTTAGGATGGAGTTCACATTCTGTTAACAGCACACACAAGGCCCTGCTTGTCCTATCTTCTGCCTTACCATCTTTCCGTTTGGTTGCTCTTTCTGAGTACCTCCATCCTTTTTCCTCTGTGTCTTTGCACATGTTCTGTAGTGAGCATCGCACATACTTTCTTGTTTTATGAGTGTTATAAAATATGGTCCAAACATTGTCTTCTAGGGGAGTCTTTCCTTCTTAAATCCCACAGTTCCCTGCTTGGATTTAGTTAGGGGTCTTCCTCTATGTATTACTTGGGCCTCTGTGTATCTCTTACTATCATTTAAGCTGCAGTGCACACCTTTGTTTCCTGGTCTGTCTTAACCTCTAGAGAGTGAGCTGTCTGAGGGGTAGTCTTTCGTCTCAGTTCCATCCACTACACCATCTGGCACAAATGGAAGAGTACACATATGTCTGAGTGAATGGATAAACAAAGGCTGCTTTGCATTCTGGTTCTGAGAAAAGCATCTTAAAATAATGTATTTTTTTTTCTCTCCTCTAGGCCAGTTTTGTTGCATCTGGAAATAGGACAGATATTTCCTTGGATGATCCAAATTTCTGGCAAAAGTGGGCTAAGAAGGCTGAATTAGACATTGATGCCTTAAATGGGAGGGTGAGTGAGAAGTCCTATTCAGACACCTATCTGATCTAACCAAAAGGTGACTCTTTTAGAAGTTTCAAATATATGTGCTCTTTTGTTAGAACAACCTGGTTATTGATACTCCACGAGTGAGAAAGCAAACCAGGCTGTACAGTGCAGTGAAGGAGGATGAGCTGATGGAGTTTTCAGACTTGGAAAGTGATTCTGAGGAAAAACCTTGTGTAAAGCCACGGCGTCCCCAGGATAAGTCACAGGGCTATGCCAGGAGCGAATGTTTCCGAGTGGAGAAGAATCTGCTCGTTTATGGGTAAGATGGACTCATTGTGTACAGTAGAGTTTTATTCTGCATTTATGTTTGTACCTTTGTGATTCCCCTTAATGCAGCCAAATGAATGCATCTACAGTAACTGTGCATCCTGAGGTTATTTGGTTAAAAGTGGTCCAAGTTCACATTTTTTCAGATGTGGAATGGTCACTGGAAGTTAGTGGTAGGTGCTGCCTTAATGAATTATTGCAGACCCAGATTTACTTGTAGATTATCAGTAACTGATAACAAAGTCTAAAATTATAAAATCTTTTCCCGCAACTATGGTAATCTTTTAATGTTTATCTGCTATAAAAATTACCAAAGGTAATAATCTCACTTGTTAAACTCATCTGAAACACAGGTGGTCATTTGAACTTTGTTAATGTGTTGTATTTCTCTGGTGGACTACAGGCTTCCAAAAGGCTGGATCCCTATCTAATTCATCTCTGGATCACTATGGCACCACATGGTTATTTAAATGGCAGGGTGCTCAGAAAATACCTGAATCAGTAAATGAGAGTTCTCACTCATACTGTGGGACCATAAGCAGATTCCATTAAAATAAAAACACCTGCCACCAAAGCAGTCTTTCCGCTGACCTGGTGGTGTCCTGCTTATGATGATTTCTTCCAGTGGATCCACCATTAGTGCTGAGTAGAGACAAGTGTTTGTTTGTGTGGCATTCTGTGCTCTCTAGCTGGCCCTTGTCTGTCTTTGTTCTTTCTCTTGGGCAGTCCAAGCCCTGTCCAGACAGACTGCCTCATCTCCTTTGATGTCCATGCCCATGTCTTTGCACAGGTTCTTGCCACTGCCTAGAGTGACCTCCCCCCAACACACATACACACACACAGACACACACAGACGCGCACACACACACACCCTCCCACCCACCCACCCACCCTCCTTCCTTCCAATATGCAACCTTGATCAGCTGCTCTCCTGGAACATCCAACACAGGCTTCACCTTTTCATTCTGGCCTGTACTTCCTATTGCATTCATCATATTGTAGCATGATTTTTAAGTCATCTGCTTTTCCTGCTGGATTCCCAGTTAGCAGGTCCTTGAGGACAGAGACTCTTTCTTTGTATCCTTAGTATGTGATGCGGTGCCAGTGGACACACAGTGAATGCTGAATAAATGCTCATTTGTGGAATCCATGAAAGTCAGCAGAACTCCATCCTGTATCTAAGCAGCTCTATCAGCACTCCTCATTGTGAGAGCTGGACAACTTCTGCCTGCTTGCTCTGCATGGGGCAGAAGCTCTCCCCATCTCAGCCCTTTGCTGCTTGCACCTGCTTCCTTATTTCAATCTAATGGTCAGAGTTATGAATGTTGTTGGAAGCCTTAAGACTGGAACACTTTAGTAATTTATAGTGCTAATAAGGATGCTCAATGCACATTGTCTTTCAATCAGGCCTTTTTCTTTTCCCATACTCATCACTGTGTATCAAACTCTGTTGTGTGCTAGCTAGTATATTCTCAGACACCAGGAGCATAGCAGTGAGCAAGACAGTCTTGTTAGCCCAAGGCTATGAGCAAACAGAAGTGGCAGTACATTGTGAGGATGCTGGAAGCAGGAAGCACTCAGCTAGTGGAGCAGAGACTCCTAGCACCTTACTTGTAAGACACAGCTAGTGCTACCGTCTCACTTCTGGGGCTAGGAGAAGTCAAAGAAGGAATTCCACAGGAAGTGATACGTACAATCTGGCTAGATGGACATCATACAAGGGAATGTTGCCAAGCATACAAGGAAATGTTGTAGCTTGCATAAGGAGGAGGAGGAGAGAATAGCAAGTTCACAGGCCTAGGTGTAAGACCATCCTTGGGGTTGAGGAACTAAAAGAAGTTTTAGAAGACAGAGAGGACCTGGGAATGGGAAGAGACCATGCCAAGCCCAAAGGCAAGGCATGGGAGAGAGGATGTTTGCTGTATGTGCAGTCGAGGCCGAGTCCTCAAGTATAGCCCTAAGCCCATTGTCACCAAAGATGGTGGAAGGGCTGTTTGTACTATGATCCCTTGTGGCTCTGTGTGCTGTCACCCAGAGGAGGCACAGCTCCACCATGCCTGTTCATTGTGTGGTTATATCCCAAACATTTAAGCTGAAACAATGGATTATGCCATGAAATTGATGATCAGGGTCAACTGGTTGTTACCTGTTTGCCTGTATCCATACTCCTTTCTCCCACCTTTTTCATGTGAGGACCTAGAGTGGGCTGAGCATCTTTCCTGTGAGTGTTCTTGTATTGGAATTACCACTCCCTGTCCAAAAGGAACTTCAGTGTTTCTTAGGCCTTTACCCATTATCATGGCATCCCATTGAGGTGGATTAATGTAGCCATACTCCTTGGTGTCGCCTCCTTGATTTGGGATGTCACATCTACCTTGAGTCACCTTTCATCTCAAATGATTGGTCAGTACTGAAACATAAACCATACCAGCAGGAAGCAGAATATACAGTTTCCTGGCATCTGCTCAGGAAACAGTGTTAGCCACGTGCGTACAACCAACTCTTGTACTCTCAGTTGCTTTCTTGTCATCTGATGTAAAATATTGCTTGTTTTGACATGGGATTTCCCACTGCTGGTACCTGACTGTTAAGATAAAGCTCCACATCACAATCAGAGGCTCCATGCTAGTTATTTGCTTTTTAGCTGGGGCCGGTGGACAGACATCCTGTCCCATGGACGCTACAAACGTCAACTCACCGAGCAAGATGTGGAAACCATCTGCAGAACCATCCTTGTGTACTGTCTCAACCATTACAGAGGGGATGAGAACATCAAAAGTTTCATCTGGGATCTGATCACGCCCACAGCTGATGGCCAGACACGAGCTTTAGTCAATCATTCTGGTAGGTCTATTTCATGTTTTCAGTGATTCCCAGCCACAGAGAGCCACTGAAACTTCTAATAAAAGAGATGCAGTATAGAGTCTGTGTTACACTATCTGCCTCTGACACTGTAACATGCTTCTGTGATGATGATGATGATGGTGCTTCCAGGTCTGTCAGCCCCAGTGCCAAGGGGAAGGAAAGGGAAGAAGGTGAAAGCCCAGAGCACACAGCCTGTGGTGCAGGATGCTGACTGGTTGGCCAGCTGCAACCCCGATGCCCTGTTCCAGGAGGACAGCTATAAGAAGCACCTGAAGCACCACTGCAACAAGTACGTCTCTAGGGATGGAGCAGAGCCTGGTCCCGGCCAGTGTTGGGTGGGGTGCAATGGTTCATGCCTATAGTCCCAGCTACTTAGGAGGTGGAGATTGGGAGAATCATAGTCTGAGGCTGGCTTTGGGCAAAAATGTGAGCCCCTATCTGAAAAATAAAGTAAAAAAGGGCTGGGAGTGTGGGTCAAGGCTAAGAGTGCTGGGCCTAGCAAGCACAGGACCTTGAGTTTAAACTTGGTAGTTACTGTCTCCTTGTTGTCCTTGTAACATGATGCCAAGTTACAGAAGAGCACACCTTCAGGTGACTGATTATTTATTAAATGATGAAAACAAGTCATATACATTCTATTTTAGCCATTTCTGAGTGAGCAAATTCATTGGCATTAATTACAGTCACAATGCCCCTGTACTCATCACCACTATCCATTGCCTCTTTCACCCCCCAAAATTGCAGCACTGTACCCTGCTTCCTGCCCCTTCCCATGTCTGGCAACCACCAGTCTACTTAACTTGTCCATTATAGGTAACTCGTAAGTGGAATCTCATGATACTTAGCCTCCTGTTTCTGGTTTATGTCACTCAGCATTGTGATTTCAAGATTCCAGTTCATCCATATTGTAGTATATATTAAAATTTGATTCTTTTTGAAAATGGCTGAATATTATTCCTTTGTGTGTCACATTTTTTTAATCCATTCATCTGTTAGTGAACACTTGAGTTCTTTCCATCTTTATCTGTTGTGAATAAGCTGCTGTTGAAATTATACATGACTGATTTTTAGCCAATATTTATGTGGTAGAAAATTATGGTTAGTTTTATATGACTCCAACTTCAACTGACTGCTTCTAGGCAGGAGACTGGGCAGTACAGTATTTTTGCTTTAATAATATCTCAGTTGCTGGATCCTATTGACATAGAATAATATTCTTTACCTTTATTTCCAGAAACTCATAAGTAACTGAAGAATACTGAAGCTAAATTTATCTCCTAGTTTAGTACTCTTGTTAACTCTGTACATGTACTGATGGTTGCCTTGTTCTCAGTTTTAGTAGTACAAACAGCCATGCTGCCGAACAGTGAGCATAATCAGGTCCCCAGCTTGGTGTGACCTTGGGAAAGTTACTCATTTCTTGTGAATCAAATGGAGTTTGGCAGCAAGATCTCAACTGGATGAAGCAGGATATAAATAAATACATATTTTTATTTTAAAAAGTAGCAACAAAAATCTGAGCACATGATACTGGCAGTGTGCCAAGTGCTTTGTTTTATTTGTGGTGCTAGGGATCCAACACAGGGCCTTGTACAATGCTAGGCAAGTACTCTGCCTCTGAGCCATGTCACTACCCCTTCTTTTGAGACAAGGTCTTGCTATGTTGCCCAGGCTTGTCCCAATTTCCTGGGCTCAAGTGATCCCTCTTGCCCTAGCCTCCCAAGTAGCAGGAGTTATAGTCTTGTGCCACTGCTCCCTAAGTAGTGCTATTTTAACCTCACTTAACTGACAAGGAAACTGAGTCTCAAACTAGGTAACTTCCAAAGATCTCAGTGAGGAAAGGTCAAAACAGGTGTGTGCAGTGCTCTCACCACTGTGCTTCCCTGCCTACCACACCTCAGAAGTCTCCTTCCTGCTGGGGGCTTTATGAGGCTTCCAAAAGACTCTTCACAACCATTACTTCAAACCATTTGGTGTCTCAGAAACTTGTTTCTGTTGTGCCATAATGTTTTTTCTCCTAAAATCCCTCCCCACTTATAGCTATTAGAAAATTTGTCTGTCCTTGTGGTTTATGTCAGCTGTGTGTCAGTAGCCTTCAGTGTTCTGGATTCAAACAAAGGAAGTGAAGTGGTTTTGTGTGGGAACAATGGCTCCTGTTCCCGGATGTCAGTGTGGTGGTGGTGGTTTTCAATTTCCATTCTGCTGTCAGCACAGACTTCCATAAGTGGTGCCCTCCCTAGTTAGTACATGAGCAGTCACTAGGATTCTTCATATTCTGCCATTCAGTCTCAAAAGAAGACTGTTCTTGCCTTCTAGCTCATCTCTTAGAAGAAATGAGTGATCCAGTTTTCCTTTCCCAGTAGACTATGCCTTGAGATTACATCTTATCAGATCTAAATATAGGAAAGGTTGATGTGAAGGTAGAAAAATGACCCAATTGAGGGCCATCCTAGAAAATTACTAGCTACTTCTCTTCACAAGTTTGAAGGTCATGAGAGACCAAAATGGGGTGAAAGTTGAGTGCTGGGCTGGAGGCTGGTCCAGAAAACTCTCTAGTGGGACAGCTGCAGGAATGTGGATAAGGCTTGAGGTCTTGTTAACAGTTGTGTCTGCCTGCCTCACAGAGTACGAACTCCCTAGGACCAGTGGCCATGTCCAGGCCATCCTTTCTCCTCGGAGTGGCTGGCTGGCATGATACATTCCACAGGAGTACGCCACTTGCCAGTGGCATCTGATGAAATGAGAGTTTCCACATAAACTAAAGGATGAAATGAGAGTTTCCACATAAACTAAAACTACTCCTGAAGTAGAAATGTTTGTCTTTTACCAAAAGGAAGAGAAACCATTAGGCTGCCTGCCCCTATATCAGGTTTCGCTGTGAAAAGTAAGAATCCAGCCATAGGTGGAGCCTATTTCTTTTGAAACTACCCTTTCTGAGCTGCTTCTTTAAGTAGAAGTTGGCCTGCAAATTCTTCTCTAACTAGAGGAGAAACAAGGTGCTAACCATGCTGTCACTGTTCCTTTGTTGGTTTGGTGTGGCAAGGTCACTGGTTTAATCTTGTATGTTAACAAAATAAAGAAATTTATAAAATAAAAAGGCATTATCCAGAAAAACAGACTGCTTACTTTGGCATCTATTGAGATATTTGCAGCCTCACACTTAGCTCATCCAGAACCTGTGTTGGCCATGAGTAGACTCTTGTGGGAAGAAAGAAGATGTGTCGCAGCATATTTATTTATGTCTGGTCAGGAATAGTCTGTTTTGGTGAAGCTGCCCCTAGTTGTCATTTTGATGTTTTAAAAAGGATGGTTGTACATCCTGAGAGACAATATGATGTGGAGTTAGAAGACCTAGTTCTGAGTGCTCATGCTCCGATTTATAACTTGTCTCCTGTTACCAGCTGTTTTCACATTTGGAAAATGGAAATTATAACTTGCCCTGTTTGATCATAGGGATGAACAAGTATATTTAAATGCCATATATTGGTTGTATAAAGTGTTATGCAAGTATGTGATGAGATTTTTCAGCTAGGGAAATAGCACTGGAATCCTTAATGCATACTGTGAGCTGTCCAGCAGGGATAGGCCAGGTGGATTCTATTGAGAGAATTATGTTTCAGCCATTGAGGAAGTCCAAGCAGGATTGAAAATCTGCTTCGTAGATAATTCTGAAAAAAAATTTTTTAATGGGTTCCTTGTAAATGATGAAGAATGTCAGTGAATTGGAAACATTTTAATCTTGTAATGTTTTATTATCATTTTTAAGCTACAACTTAGATTCCCAGGTAATCTAAACTAGGAATAGAAATGTTTACTGTTCCCTGAGAAGAGGACCCACCTCCTACCCCACCCCATTACCATCTTCCTTTCTCAGAAGCAAAGTTGTATAATCTGAAAAACCTGACATTCCATATTGAAGGTTTATTGTAAGGTAGTAAAACCAGATTTTATATCTCGTTTATTCCTACAACTTCTGATGTGCTTCCAAAAATGGTATTAAGGCAGCAGCTGAGGAAATTTTATGAGATAATGAAGCAGAACAGTTACTGAAAGCCATCTGCTCAGTTGTTTACAAACTTGCTCCAATACTTCAGAGGCAATGGTAGGGTACGTGTCTAAACTTCACAAGCTGCACTAGGTAGAACTAAATGAAGTGCGCCTGGGCTGGGCTGAGCACGGTCCCTCTCTGTGCAGCATGAGCGGTTGCCAGGCAGGCTGTTGGAAGCCAGCAGAAAGCACCACACAGAGGTGATTATGTGCCACCATCTGTCACGCTTCAAGCCTACCATACAGCATGGCTAATCAGCCTTGGCAGGATGATGGATGAACAGCAGCAGCTGCCAAAAGCCACTGTTGGCAAACAGTCCTGAAGTTAAGAACTTTTTCCCCCTCTGTCTTCCTCTCCAGGGTCCTGCTGCGTGTCCGCATGCTGTACTACCTAAGACAAGAAGTGATAGGAGACCAGGCGGATAAGATCCTAGAGGGTGCTGACTCAAGGTTGGTGCAAGTACACATTTGTTCTGTGCCTCCATAAGGTAATCCAGGTAGTTGGAAAACATTGTGGGCTGTTTCAGAGACTTCACAAACCATTAGTACTAGCTCACCTCCTTTGCATCTTGAATGCAAGTGTTTGTCCTCTGAGCTTGGAGATGTGATGAGAATCAGGAAAAGGCTGTTTGTATATAAAAAGGTGTGAACTAAATTACTGGTATTCTGAGGTGACTTTTACAATGTGACAAAGTTCATTTCTGGCCATGGTGGAGAACGACCAATGTATATCCTTTCTTTCACCTTCACTGGTTCCTCCCCACCATGCTTACATATTTATTGTCAGGGAGAGGGCATGTGAGTGCATTTATAGTGTTCACTACTGGGAATAAGAATTCTTTTTAACACTAGAATGTCTTTTAAATACTGTTTAAACCATTGTCTTTTTTAGTGAAGCAGATGTGTGGATCCCTGAACCTTTCCATGCTGAAGTTCCTACAGATTGGTGGGATAAGGAAGCAGATAAATCCCTCTTAATTGGAGTGTTCAAACATGGTAAGTGATGTTCTATTTGAGTACATCTTGACTGTATGGCTTTGTCGTTATTTAGAACTCTTTGCAAACTCCTTTCCAAAGTCATAATATTAATGAGGATAGTTCCAAAGGACTCTTGGCGCCTACCATTTTTCTGTACTAAAAATCTAATATGAACTGTAAATATCAGATGCTGTTTTTGAATGTTTGTTGAGTATTTGAGAAGAAAACATTTCTTTCTTGGCTGTAAATAGAACCCAAACCATATTTGTTTCAATAATAGCCAAGTTGTGCTATACCTCTCCCTAAACTTTGCTTCCAGCCGGCTTCCCTCGCTAACTCTGCCAGGCAGTGTCAGAGTGGACGGTGGGGCTTAACCTCTGCTATTAATCTGTACAAGTGCCTCCTGGGCTTTGTTCCAAGCAATATTTCACAAATGTCAGTGCTGAGGACTCGCCGCTCCCCCGAGTGGGATGCAGCCTTGTTAACTTTGAAAGGCTGGGGATGCAGAACTGGCATGATATATACAGTGAGCGATTCCTGATTATAATCCCAATTCTCTGGAGGTCGTGGAGGTATTCTCAGCAGCCCAGCCTGACTAAAGGGGAGAATGATGGCTTATAAAACCTTTCATGATTGCAGTTTGGCTTGCGGCTCTACAGCAGTTAGGAGCAGTGTGTTGTAGCACATATCCTAATTGAATTGTGCTGTTCTGCCTATGTACTGCAGCCACATTTTGTGAGCTCTGCCTCAAAATCATTTTCCCGCAGTGCACTGTTGGGATCTGCCATTTTCCATCTAGTCAACTTGGGCAGTCAAAAAGCAAATTACAGTTTGAAAACCATAGAGGGAACAGTGTCATCTTACTGACATGCATCATCCTAAACCTAATAAGACAGGTTCGCTGGCCTTATGTATACGGGGATTTTTCAGCTAGCCATGTGAGCTCCTACAGGACCAAAACTATTCAAGGAGGATGGGGGGTAGACTTAGAGTACCCCTGCAGAGGTCATAAAGGAACATTACGAAGCCTTTTAAATGTCAAGCAAAATTAGATCTTGGAAAAAATAGGATCAGAAATTCTTCCAGGTATCCTGCAATTATTCTGAACCTGTTTTTGTATTTGTATTTGTGGTAATTCTGCTAGTATCCCTGAAGTGTAACTTGTCCCCCTCCCCCAACAAACTTCCCTAGAATGAGCATTCTGTAGGAATGAAATCTAAATCTAAAGTGAAATCTATTCAGTTCAACATAGATGAGAGTCTTTTTTCTGAGAAACGAACTTGGTGTGTTGTGGCAGTGCAGTGATTTTGACAGTGACAGGCCCTTTCTTTGTTTCTGTGTTTATCCTCTGTGGACTGGTGGGCATGGCCCAGGCTATGAGAAGTATAACTCCATGAGAGCTGACCCCACACTGTGCTTTCTGGAACGAGTTGGTATGCCTGATGCCAAGGCCATAGCTGCTGAGCAGAGAGGGACAGACATGCTAGCAGATGGTGGTGACGGGTAAGAAGGACATATTAAAATATTAATAAACTTTCTGTCAGTGTCACATCTATTGATTCAATTCTTACGCTGCACTTCACACTGCATTGTCTCCAATTTGAACTTAATCAGTGTTTACTAGTATATTCAAGGTGTATATCATAATAAGTGAACAAAGTAATCTAGGTAACCCAAAACTTACCTCTTCCAAGTGCCATCCCACCTGCAACCAACCCTCTATGGCTGCATGTTTTAAATCCTGATAAGAGTTATTTTTTATATCAAATCCAGAATTAAAAGTAGTATTAGGCAGATTGCTCCTCTTCCCCTCCCCCCACTTACTGGTGTGATTTAAACAAATTTTTTTTTTTAAACAGTGGAGAATTTGATAGAGAAGATGAAGACCCTGAATATAAGCCAACTAGAACACCATTCAAAGATGAAATAGATGTAAGAATTGAGTATATTGGCTTTTACAGTGCCATTAAAGTATTACATGTTTATAAAAGACTTGCTAAACTTTGTAGATAGTGGCCTTATTTTTTAAAAGATAAAACAAAATGAAACCCCAAATTAACATAACTGTTTCTTGCTTTGCTCAAGGAATTTGCAAATTCTCCTCCGGAGGATAAGGAAGAGTCCATGGACTTGCATGCCACAGGTGAGGCCCCAGAATAGCCCATGGAATAGAGCAAATATGTGCTGGGCAGTTCTTGTTTGGGCCACAGGCCTTGGGCCACTCTGTGATGGTGGTGTATCAGAATGTTACTCTTCTGCACTCACCCATCTCTTGTGAACAGTTTAATGCTTATGGCCAATTTTTTTATTGCATTTAATTTCTGTGATAGAATCTATATAGATAGATCTATTTATTTATATTTTTAATTATTTATACATTTATTCATATGTGTATACATTGTTTGGGCCATCTCTCCCCCCGCCCCCCATCTCCACTCCTCCTCCTCCCCCACCCCCCTCACTTCCAGGCAGAAGATAGATCTGTTTATATTCACACTAATTAATTAAAATTTTTTAGCATCTTTGAACTATATTGCAAGCATATATTTCAACTGTTTTGCCATTTGCTGTTTGAAATGTTGCCCATTAAGAATATTGACCTTCTACCTAATGAAAAATCATTATGTGACGATTACATAATTCTTTGTTGTGTTCAAGATTATTATTTTAAGCACATTACAGGAGAGACCCTTACTTATAGTTCATGCTGTATAATATGCTTCTTTATGTAAGACTGATAAATAAACTTGGTTTTCCCTCCTTCTAAAGAGTTAAAAAAAGAGTAGTTTGTAAGTTTCATGCTCATAGTTTTATTGTTTATTTATATTTTAAGAACGATGGCACTGAGATACTGTTTCCCACACTGTCATTTGAATCCTAATGAGTCATCTTGTTTTGTTGGAAAATCCTGTGTATTGCAAGATTGCAACAACACTTTTCAAAATTATTTCTTCCACTTCCCCAGGCAAGCACAGTGAGAGTAATGCTGAGTTAGGCCAACTTTACTGGCCTAACACTTCAACCCTGACTACGCGTCTGCGCCGGCTCATTACTGCCTATCAGCGCAGCTATAAAAGGCAACAAATGAGGCAAGAGGCCTTAATGAAGACTGACCGGCGTAGACGGCGGCCTCGGGAGGAAGTGAGAGCGCTAGAGGCGGAAAGGGAAGCTATTATATCTGAGAAACGGCAAAAGTGAGTTTCTTCAGGGTTCACTCAACTCCCCATGTGTTCCCTCCTCTCTGCTCTTCTAGGTCCACAAGAGACCACAGTCACTTCAAAGATAGTGGCCAGCAAAGAAAGGCTCGATGTGTCCAAGGAGTCTTATCTTCCCAAACCCAAATAAGTACTGTGAACACTGGGTCTGGGGAAAGAGAAAAGGAAAGAATCAGCCTTATGCCTTTTTCCCTCTGGTGCAATATGAGCCTATGTATTCTTTCTCACAGGTGGACAAGAAGAGAAGAAGCTGATTTTTACCGTGTGGTGTCCACCTTTGGGGTTATTTTTGACCCCGTGAAACAGCAGTTTGACTGGAACCAATTCCGAGCCTTTGCCAGACTTGACAAAAAGTCTGATGAGAGTTTGGAGAAATACTTCAGCTGCTTTGTGGCCATGTGCAGGCGGGTCTGTCGAATGCCAGCCAAGCCAGACGATGGTAGGTACATTTGCTAGCAACGTTCTGTACTAGATGACACAAGGCAGTGAGAAAGTGTGCAGGTTAAGGTATGTGCTTGGGGCTTTCCCAAGTAAATGCAAGTGCTTCCATGTTACAGAGCCTCCTGACCTCGCCTCCCTGATTGAGCCCATCACAGAGGAACGGGCCTCTAGAACTTTGTACCGCATTGAGCTGCTACGAAAGATCCGTGAGCAGGTCCTGCACCACCCGCAGCTGGGAGAGAGGCTGAAGCTCTGCCAGCCCAGCCTGGATCTTCCCGAGTGGTGGGAGTGTGGAAGGCATGACCGGGACCTACTGGTTGGTGCTGCTAAGCATGGGGTCAGTCGGACAGACTACCACATCCTCAACGACCCCGAGCTGTCCTTCTTAGATGCACATAAAAACTTTGCTCAAAACCGAGGGGCAAGTAACGTCTCTTCCTTGAACCCACTGGCTGTGGGCTTTGGCCAGACTCCTCCAGTTGTCTCATCAAGTTCACAGTCACGAAGAGAAGGTACTGGAACAAGTTGAAGGCAAAATAGAAGAGTCTGAAAACTCGACAGCCAAAGAGAGGTCTCAGGGGAAAAATGAGGAAGAAGAAGCTGATGGTGGGGGCAAGGACAGCAAGCAGGAATGTGAGGTGGAGGACAGCTCTGTGAAGAGTGAGCTGAAAGGGGCTGAGGGCAGTGCAGAACCTGGGTCCAAGCCTGTCTCGGAGAAAGGCTCTGAAGAGGACGAAGAAGAAAAGCTGGAGGATGATGATAAGTCGGAGGAGTCATCCCAGCCTGAAGGTAATGCCTGGCTGCTTGGACTATGTCCCAGTCCTTAGTAACTCCCTGTGGGATGCACTGTTGTATTGTCACAGCACACCACAAGTTCTCTTTTCTTTGTTCAGGACTGGGGATTGAACCCTGGGCCTCATGCTTATTAGCCAGCGGCTCTGTCACTGGAACCATGCCCTCAGACCTGTGGTTTATATTTTATTTTTGAGATAGGTCTTGCTAACTTTGTCCAGGCTGACATTGAACTCTAAAGCCTCTACCTTCCTAGTAGCTGAAATTATAGGTGTACACTGCCATGCCCAGTTCTTTTTATTTTTTTAAGAGTAATTAGCATCCACTTTCCTTCTGTGAAAGGATAAATTCCTGTTATGGTTGGATGTATTTTTCCTTCATACTTTACCACACACAAGCATGATATTTCAAACAATGTAAGCTCTAAGAATAGTTATGCATACACATTAACTTCTGGTTTAAGGGTAGAGGTTAACTTCATAGTCGGGTGTCTTAAGAATTCCATGTGATGTTAATTTGGGCAAATCCATGTGAAGAAAGAGTCATTCTCTGAGTAAATACTGTTAATTATTTTAAAGCAAATGATACTGTATTTTGTTTTAATTCAGAAATAAAGAGTAAAAGTAGAATCTGAAAATAAGTTTTTTTTGTCAGATAGATTGCTGTAATTGTTACAAAGTAGAAATAGGGCTCCATTTTGTTACTGACCTGCTGTAGTGGAACCTTCTACGTCATTCAAAACCTTAGACTTAGTCCTGTGCAGAAGGACAGAGGCTCTTTAATCAGAGACGTCGTTGGCTTTCAAGCCTCCACTAAGATTTACTGGCACAGTGCCAGGTGGCTAGTGATGAGACTTCTGTCAGCTTCTGCTTCTTCATCTATAAGGTAAAAACAATACCCCCTGCATTAAAGGGGGCCTTTACAGCCTTTAGATGAAAAGATGTGTAAAAGGTCCTATACCATTCTAGATGTGTGGTAGGTGCTCAATAAAATGGAGTGGTTGGAATTCATATCTGCAATGTTGTCCTTTCTGAACTCTCAGTGATATTTTGGTTGTGAGTAATGCACATTAACTCATTTCTCAGCAGGAGCTGTCTCTAGAGGGAAGAATTTTGATGAAGAAAGCAATGCCTCTATGAGTACTGCTAGGGATGAAACGCGAGATGGATTCTACATGGAGGATGGAGATCCTTCAGTAGCTCAGCTCCTTCATGAAAGAACATTTGCCTTCTCATTTTGGCCTAAGGTTGGCGGGTTTTTGTGGTTTCTGTTGACCAAAAACAAGCAAGGGACAGGAAATCTTTATAACTTGATTTTTCAGATAATTCTAAGGTAAACATTGACACAGTGTAGGAACTGTAGATTTTTCTTATGTTTTAAAAAAGTGATCTTAAAAACAAAAAAGGAAAAAATAAGACAACTACTTTTGTAATAGGATAAGAAAGATAAATAATACTGATCATATCTGGCTCCTTGGAGCATTTTAGATCCATCACCCATGTTGTTCAGTAGAATCTATGACTTACTGTTTCAGTGGATTCATCTATGGATCAAATACAATGTGTGAACCTTTAAAATTGTGTTTAAAAAATTGTTTTTACTCTTAAGCAAGGCTTTCAGATTTAAGATATTTAAAAACCTACTGTATTGTTAACCAAAAAGGATGAGTAGTTGCCCATTTCCAAATGTAGTTATCTATAACCAAAAACAATGGAAATTGCCCTTTTTTTTTTTTTTTTTAGTTAAATAGCCTAATTTTATAATAAGTCCCTGTACCATTTGGGTCTGTCTTTCCAGGGTGGTGAAGTAATCATTCCAATCACCGTAACAGGGTTGTTTGGTTTAAAATGAGCAAGTAGGCTTCTGTCAACTCATCCCCAGGCTGGTCTTCACAGAATTTGTGTAGCTTAGAAAACAAGGTGAAATTTTGAGCTGAAAAGTGTAGTTGTCAATGAGACTTTCTTCCCTTTCTCCATATCCCTTCAGTTCCCCTGTTATACTAATCTCCCTTATTGATTGTAGAAGGGGGTTGCTCAGATCAGTCAAAAGTTTATAGTAGCAGGCATGTCTAATCTATGGAACTTGTTCTAAGTGCTGTAATTAGAAAATTTTAATGTGCACGCTTCAATGAAATTTGGAGCTCTAATAGGTGGGGAATGAAATTGACATTCATTAGGTGTTCCTACGTTGGTGCCCACTGACAATGCTGAGCTTTATTAATAGTGACGCTAATGAGGTCCCCTTCCTGGGACATAGGGCACTCCTGCCTGTAGATCTGAAGGGCCCAAGCGGTGAGATGCTAAGCTCCGGGTCTCCATTGTCATCTACTGATGCTCACCAGCGGTTCTTGATGGAGTCTGAATGAGAGTTACTTTTAGAATATGAGGTTATTTTGAAGGTGGTGGTTATTTAATATATTTCCTATATAGTCTCAATCTTGATGGTTGAAAAATAGTATTTTTTTTTATTGGAGCTATCTAGGTCCTCCCACCAGAGCAAAACCATTTTGGTGGGTGGTGTTTATTTATCATTTGGCTTTTTACTTTGTTTTCTTTTCTTCTCTGCCACTACTACCAACTAACTGTTAAGCATTGGTGCTCTTTAGCATATTGATGGATTTATTTATCTAGTAATTTTAGCCAGGTCTTTGTTACAATTTCTTGCGACTTTTCTTCTCCCTCCAGGATAGAGTAATGATAAACCGATTAGACAACATCTGTGAAGCAGTGTTGAAAGGCAAATGGCAGTAAATAGGCGCCAGGTGTTTGATTTCCAGGGCCTCATCCCTGGTTACACACCCACCACTGTGGACAGTCCCCTGCAGAAGAGGAGCTTTGCGGAGCTCTCTCTGGTCGGCCAGGCCAGCATTAGTGGGAGTGAAGACATCACTACTTCTCCTCAGCTGTCAAAGGTGAGTTAGAGCTGTTTATTTTTACAGTTTAAAGCAAAGCTAAGTCATCTGGGTGCCAGTGGCGCATGCCTGTAATCCTAGCTACTCGGGAGGCAGAGATCAGGAGAATCGAGGTTTGAAGCCAGCTGGGCAGATAACTTGTGAGACTTTATCTCAAAAATATCCAATACCAAAAAGGGATGGCAGAGTGACTCAGGTGGTAGAACACCTGCCTAGCAAGCATGAGGCCATGAGGCCCTAAGTTCAAAACCTGGTACCACCAAAAACAAATAAAAAAAAAGCAAAGCTAAGTCTTAACTCAGTTTGGGAGCTTGTGTTTCTTTGCTCCTATTTGTTTTTGTTTGTTTTTGAGATGGGGACTCACTTTGTGACCCAGGCTGACCTCAAACTTCTGGACTCAAGTTATCCTCCTGCCTCCACCTCCCAAGTAGTTGGGGCTACTGATGTGCAGTGCCATGCCTAGCTGACTGGTTTCACTTGGAAATAAGATGGTTGCTTTTTTCCCAGCTCCGGCTACCAGTCTTAAACAATTCCTTAGGCTTCTCGTTTCTTAATTCAAGTGTCATCCCCTGTAGTGGTTATACTCTTGGCTCATTGCAATTATTGTGTTCAATAGGAAGATGCCCTCAACCTCTCTGTCCCTCGTCAGCGACGGAGGAGAAGGAGAAAAATCGAAATCGAGGCCGAAAGAGCTGCCAAGAGGCGAAATCTCATGGAGATGGTTGCTCAGTTGCGAGAGTCTCAGGTGGTCTCAGAAAATGGACAAGAAAAAGTTGTAGATTTATCAAAGGCCTCACGAGAGGCAACAAGTTCTACCTCAAATTTTTCATCTCTTACTTCAAAGTTTATCTTGCCTAATGTCTCGACACCAGTGTCTGATGCCTTTAAGACTCAAATGGAACTGCTCCAAGCAGGCCTTTCACGCACACCCACAAGGCATCTGCTTAATGGCTCCCTAGTGGATGGAGAGCCTCCACTGAAGAGGAGACGGGGCAGGAGGAAAAACGTGGAGGGCCTTGATCTGCTTTTCATGAGCCACAAACGGACGTCATTAAGTGCGGTAAGTTGGGGAGCTCAGTCTCCTGCTTGTGCCCTGCCAGCAGTCAGGGGCCCTACACTGCTGGCAGTGCTAGCCTGTGTTCTCTTAGCAACATAATATTAAAGTTGGCCTCTTCTACCAGAGAAGCAGAATTACAATGAACAGAGTCATGGCTCTGAGCTGGAAAATTGTGTTGATTCCTGATACAGATCGTTTGCCCTGAACCAAGTACAGCTTGACAGTTTATTCTTCCTGAGGTTCTTATATATTGATTGCTCTTGGAAAGATAGCCCAAAACAAAAACATATTTTTCTGAGCCTGGAATTGTTATCTCTGAATTCTTGAGGTGGAAAAAGCTTCTGCTTCTAAAAATATTGATGTTTGGGGCCTAGCATTGATTAGATTAATATAAATGTTTAGTTTCAGATTTAAGATTTTTATTCATGTATAAAAACTAGTGACTGCAAATGCTCTGAACAGCTGCTGGTTTTAAAATTCTGAGCTGCATCTAGTTTAGGTTTGAATGAAATGTGTGGGCCAATGGATTTTTTTACTTTTCCTTTTACAACTTAAAGGAAATGGATGCAATATAATCAAAATAATTCTCTTTCCCTATCTGCCTCAACCATGCCACCCCAAAAAAATGTGCATCTGATGATTAATTGATGACAAGGATTTTACCCCAGAGAACTCGATTACACATGCTGTTTCTTTAAAGGATTATTTAGTACTCGATATTCTGGTCCTATCAATTTGAATCCTAATGACGTAGTCACACTGGAGCTGGGCCACTGCGAACCTTTCCATGGGCAGCGAGACAGTTTAGAAAACACTACAGTTTGAGATTAAGAGCAGGCAGTTATTTTTTCAGCATGTTTCTCCTTTTCCCATCCTTGTTATCATTTGCCCATTTTCTATTTCTTGAACCTAGAAAAAGCTTAACTAAAAGGCAGGAAAGGATAGGGTTGAGAAATGACAATAGATTCATTCAGTGAAATCTGTGTGCCCCTTGGTGGCTATAAAACAGAAGTATCCAGGCAGTTACGGGTTAACTTTCAAAACTGGTTACTAATACACAAGTCAGAAAACTGGGTATAGTTGTTGATTAGTTGTTGATAGGTGTTTAGACTCTTGTACAAATACTCTTTGTAATGTGTCAGCTGTGACTTAATGTGAGTTCCATAACTTAGAGTGTGTTTTTAGAGGCCTGTCAGTCACTTGTATCACTGGTTTTAGCCTATGTGAAACACTTGGATAGATAAGCACTTTGGTGGATTTTGTTAGCTCAAAAATCTTTTTTACATAAACATCAGAAACTAAACTCAAGACTGACTTTATTCATTTCACTTATTTTAAGCCATCACCAAAAATTTACAGGTACTTGTCTTTTTTCAGAAAAATAGACTTTAGAAGTCACATTTAGCAACCTGGCTTATTTATTTACTTACTTATTTGTTTATTTTGTTGATACTGGTAATTGAACACAGGGCCTCTGGCTTGCTAGGCAAACTCTACCACTAGAGTCATACACCCAACCTAGAGAATGCATTTAAGGTCTTTTGTTTTTAATGTTAAAGTTTGGAATTTGGGGATTCCCCATTTGGTGGAGTAGAGGTTGATGGAAGAAAAATGCTGATCTACTAATAAAGTGAGTAGTGGAGATTGTAAGGGTCAGCACTGTGGAGTAGGACATACTCTAAAATCTTACATCAGCACTGGAATAGAAAGAGTGCTACCAAGAAGATTAAGGGTGCCTCTAGCAACATGGTGGAAGCTGACCTTGTTTCTGTGCCAGGCACTGGGATTCAAAGAATAAAGGCCTGACATGAGAGGACTCACACTAGAAAACTCACTGTTTGGGGTGAGATGACTAAAAATACAGGTTGAGCATTCCTGATGCAAAAATCCAAAGTGCTCCAAAATCTGAAACTTTTTTTTTTTTTTTTTTTTTTTTTTTTGGTGGTACTGGGGCTTGAACTCAGGGCCTATACCTTGAGCCACTCCACCCAGCCCATTTTTGTGATGGAGTTTTTTGAGCTAGGGTCTCACAAACTATTTGCCCAGGCTATCTTCGAACCATGATCCTCCTGATCTCTGCCTCCTAAGTAGCTAGGATTACAGGCATGAGCCACCAGCACCCATCAAAAGTCTGAAACTTTTCGAGTGCCGGTATGACACTATATGTAGAGAATTCCACATCTGACTTCATGTGAAAGGTTTCAGTAAAAACACATGCACTAAAAATATTGCATAGAATTGTGAATTCCATGTTTAGACTTGAGTTTCATGGCAGTATATCTCAGGATGCACATGCAAATATTGCAAAATCCACAAAAGGGCAAAACCTGAAATACTTCCTCTGGTTCCAGGTATTTTCAGATGAGGGAGGGTCACCTTCAAGTGACATAGTGTAGTTGTATATGTGTGCTGTGACCAAGGCATGACTGAGGTACTTTGTGGGCCCAAAGGAAGCATGGAAGTAGAGAAGGAGCACCCACAAGGAAATTTCCTTAGAGAGGGCCATACGTTGGTTAAATTTTGAAGTTGATGGTTGGAGCAGAGGGGCAGAGGCAAGAAAGAACCTCTCATGTCTGCTGAACTGAAAGTTTTCTGGGGAGTTTGGAGAGGAGGTTACTTCAGCTGACAGGAGATAGAGATAAGGCAGAACACAAATTGTGGAGGGCCTTCATTGCCATGCTGCAGAACTTGGATTCATCCTAATGGCAGTAGGGATCCAGTTATTAGAGTAGTGAAGTAGGAAGTGATTGATGGAAGTTTTTGAACTGGGTAGTGCTGTCTGCATCTTAGAAAATTCAACCCAGTGTAGCAGCATGGAAGGCTTGGTTGAAGAGTGCTGGAAATAAGATAGGAAAGTTGCATGAACACAGTGGGAAAAGACTAAGTTCTGGGGATGGAGAAGTGGGTGACTGGTGGTTTTAAGACTAGTGGCTGGATGATGGTGGAATGTTGGGCTTTCTGTTAAGGTTGTTCTTTCTGATGTTGCCACATAAAACTTTATACAAGACATTGTTCTACAACCAACAAAATTGTACTGTCCACAAAGTGCCAGGAAGTTACTTATAAACTGACTTTTTGGCCATTATCCAGTGATCCCCAAAAGGGACAGAGAGCTGACTTTCATGCACATGTAGGTCAGCCCACATACCACCCGGTTGTAGTCCTAGTGGCTTGCTTAACATTTCAAAGCATGAAACCTTGATGAACTTTGAATTTTCTGCCTGATTAGTAATTCTACCTTGTGAAGAATGATGTGAAAGTATCATCTTCTAATTGAATAGTCCTTTTTTATGAAAGATCCAGTTCCCTTTTTAATGAAAGATCCATTTGGCTGGGAGAGCTTTTTCTTGAGAAATTTTCAGAATCTCTCTCTATGTGAGAATTCAGACCATTTCCAACTCTCTACAGGAAGATGCTGAGGTGACCAAAGCTTTTGAAGAAGACATAGAAACCCCACCAATAAGAAACATTCCTTCTCCCGGACAGCTGGACCCAGACACGCGGATCCCTGTTATAAATCTTGAAGATGGGACGAGGCTGGTGGGGGAAGATGCTCCTAAAAACAAGGATTTAGTTGAGTGGCTGAAGTTGCATCCTACTTACACTGTTGACATGCCAAGTTATGTACCAGTAAGTATTACAGAGTTTGGAGTTGGCAGGAACCTTTCTGGGCCAGGACACTTCATTCCCATCTGACATGGAAACCTCTGACAGCTGGTCCCTCTGCCTTTTGTGTGAATGTTCCTGGTCCTAAACATATCCCAGGCTTTTGTTGTGTCTTCTGCTGCATCAGAGAAATTAGCTGCAGGATTGTTGAAACCCTACTGTTACTTGAAGATGTCTGTTACTCATTTTGTACTTCTTCTTTCCCCCACTAACAAATGAGATTTCTTCATCTGGTATAGTTTCCAGGTTGTCTCAGCATTGAGACAGTCTTAAATATACTTTCACTGGACTTGAGACAAGGCCAGAGCAGTCCAGAGTGCTATAAAGCTATTTTCTCTAGAGATTTGACCAGTTAATTTAGCCCAAGATTTTATTAACTACTTTGAAAGCTACTAACC